AAGACGATGGCAAAAAAAAAAAAAGAAAAAGAGAAAGAACTGGAGAGTCAGATGGCGGACTTGAGCAGTAACAATTCTCCGCATTCCACAAAACCAAGGCATCATTCGTTATTTATTTGGAAATTTCCCCATTCCGCGCATTGTGATTTGCTCGATGGCAAAAGATCTCTCTCTGCATAAATTTAATAACCAGAAGGTCCCTAGTTGAAGATATCTTGTTCACATTAATAACATACATCATCGGTATCTTGGATGGATACTGACTTAGGGACGTCACATCAATACTGTACACTGTACACAGTACTTCGACGTTTCCAAATAATTAATTAGCATCAACGCCAGCTAATTACCTCTGGAACTAAGGCTGTTAGTGCTTGACGTGGTTCCTTTTCCGATCCTGACTCGGGCTCCGTTGAGTGGAGACCGTTGCAAAAGCAAAGCCAAAGAACACTCTTGCGCACCGCCAGATTCTGCGCGCTGTCCCGGCGCCTTAGGCTTTGGGGGACCAACGGCCTTAGGCGTTCCCCCCTCTGTGTGATCCTCCCGTCCCGTCCTCGTTCCCTTTCCTGCCTCCCTTTCCTGTCCCGTTTTCTCCCTCGCTTCCTCGTGCACAACCATTTGTTGCTTCTTCCTTTTTATTTTTCCTTGATTTATTTTTTTTTGGCCTACGAGCGCGTGGCTCGTAGATTCCGTCCCTTTCAATTTCCTTGTCGTTTCTTTTGTGTTGGTCTGGCGTTTTGTGTGTCAATGACGGGTTTGCCTTCTCTATAGTCCCCGGCTATCTTCAGGTACCAATGAAGCGCGGGAGCTCCTAGATGTGATCACAAGTCAAGATTATATCGCATCGCGTCGACATTCACACAAATACGATCGCTTGCTATCCTTCCGACCACTCACACCTTGACGAGTTTGATTTCCTTGTTTGTTTTCCGCATACTTGTTACGATTTAACGAAACGAATCCCTCCCCGAAATTACGCGCCTGGTCAACCTGCCTCAAGTTTGACCAAAGAAGCTGCACCATTGACGAAAACCAATATATTTCCTTCTAAAAAACCCCTTATTGTCTCTTACGAACTACTAGTGGACTGCTAGGATAGGAATTTCGGGTGCGCATTCAATTGGGCTAAAGAGCGTGTGCGACATTGGATCGAAAGTCCGCGCTTCCCTTGACGCCGAAGATTATACCTCTCAGGACGTGCGAAAGCTTTAAAAGAAGCGAAATGATATTGGCATAGGAAAATTGGAACTGATACAACCGAATCAACCGAGAATTTTTAATCATCGCTACCCCGGCTTGATTCTATACCGGTGAGAGATATAACGGGAACGCCGCACATCATGACTCACCGACGGCAAGGTCTTTCTCGCACCTTGCCGAAAGACTTCACTTTTCCTTCAATAGGGGAGCCCAGGACTCCGGAACGCAACTCAATCCAGCTGGACGTTCCGCCGCCGCCCCCGCGCCATTCCAGTTGCCGCTTGCGCAGGCCCCGCGTGCGCTCAGGGACAGATGTCTTTGCGCAGGCTGAATACGATCGCAATATTTTCCACCCTAACCCATCCGATATCCCGCTGCCATCTATTGAATTTTCTTCTTCTCACGATGCGACAGACCCTGAGGCATGTCTATCCATACCCACGAGCAATGACCGCTTCTTGGCCCCTCCGCGGGATCGTGTAGCGTTAAAGACCCCACCTGCCCAGATCCGCGCGGCCCCAGTCGATCAATCTACAGGATACTGGTCTACGGATGATCCTCAAACTATAGGAGAGACCATCGAACGCCCTGGCTCCGCCTGTTCTGATTCTTCAGTTTCATCAATTGAAACATTTGCCTCCCGGCGCTCAGTGGGTGGAAGCTGTACAAGCATGGAAAGCGACAGTTTTGACCCATTTTTCCTTGAAATCCAGCCAAAACACGTGGAATCAACTCCAGTGCCCAAGTTCCGGCGGAACAAACCCCCGACTCGAGAACGATGGACAAGGGATATGGACAATCACTTATGGAATACGTATCAGATTTACCTCCAGGATCCTACAATCACCCCCTTCAAAATGACGCCGGGAAGCATCCCGCCCTTGGGGGTCACTCACCGAGTAGCGCGAGAGGCAAAGAAGACGTGGGAAAGAATGCGTTACAGACTGACCAAACAGCTTCCTTCCACATCGCAACAATATGCGAGCGGTAACTCAACACCAACTCCAAAAACTGACACCCCAAAGAATATATGGCCCAGATCGGAGGCGTCGACCAGGAGGAGATTAAAATATTTGTGCAAGAGGAAATTCTGTATCGCGCCGCATTACCAAAGACTGATGATGTCCCGAAGCCCGACACCCGCCTTGGATATGGTTTCTCACTCATCACGAGAATCGTCCCAAGCAGAGGTCCCCACAAGTAGCTCAGCAGTTTACGCCACGCGCGATCTAGGCATATCTCTTGTCTCCAGCTCAGTTCCTGGGCCCTTAACGCAGCTGGCGATGGAGGAACCACCCAGTAATAATAGTGGCGAATGGTTCAGTCAACCTGTACCGTGTAACGCTCCTCATGGCACGGTGGACCCATTCGCAAATAGACCGTTTAGCTTTGATGAACGGGAGATGGCACCTCGACTGGGATCTCCGTTTACCTATCACACGTGGGGTCCTAATAACTCGAAAAAACGAGTCCAACGCCATACGCCTAGAGCTCGAAGAGAAACAATTCATGTTACAGGCTCTCGGTTGCGGTCACCTCCCCGTATGGACTTATTGGCAAATGCGGACAACCGTAATATTGCTCGCGATTCAATGGCAACCGCAGAATCTCCGAGTGATGAAGAAACACGACAAAACTTGGAGGAGCTTTTCCGACAAGGAAAACTCAACGACATTGGCCAGCGTCGCATACGAATTCGAAACCGTGGAGCCACGATGAGTTCGGTTAATTCTGGTGGCCTTAACCAGCTCTTTTCCCCGCCATCGTCTTCATCTAAAAATGATGAGAGCCATCGCGAGGAAAAGCCCGCTCCTCACCTGCGGAACCTTAGCGGGGAAGCCATCAAACGACTTGGCTCACCTTTCAAGATCGACCCACCTAAACGAGCCGGCGATTCACCGGCCAGGTTTATCAGGCATGCGCCTTCCCGTTCAGAGCCATTCGCACGTGGGCTTCTGCCTCAGGCCAGACAGACAACTCAGGTTGGCGGACAGGGAACGTCGAATACCCTGCCATACGATCCGACTGAGCCTGGTCTATCGGATGCAGAGCGGATCCGGAGACAGATTTTGAACATGTCTTACTCAAGACAATAAGCCTGGTATTGCTTTGCCCCAGCGCAATCGGCTGTTTAAGAGCATGTCTTGATGAGTCTGTTTTGATTATCGTGTCGACTTCGAATTACTCCTTGACTAATGACCTGGACGATCTTAAGTGACTTGGCTTTTGTAGACCAAGCGAAATAATGACAGAAATGGCATTAACGACTAATGATATTGAAAGACAAAAACGAAACAAAAAAAGAACAACATTCTCCTGCTCTCACAATCTAAGACAAACAACGACACAGAACGATAATAAAAAAAAAGAAAAAAGAAAAAAGCCAAAAAACCAAAACCATGACAACTTCGAGATTACCTTCGATATCTGGGCAGTCCAACGATGCAAGCCCTAACCCACTTTGATGTCGGATTTCGTGACAAGTGCAATGTGTTCAGAAAAGCTTCGTTATGCTTCTTCAAAGCAGGACACAGATGTGCGAGTTAACTTTGGCCGATTATTCAACCGAGTCGACAGAACTTCACAGTTTTCCTTTCCATTTTCTTTTGAGTTCGAACATCAACTACTCTCTTTTTTTCTCTTTACTATCTCTCATCAGCATCGGATATCGAACGACCCAATGTACGGCCGCCTTGGATAGCATGCATGCTCCATGCTGCATTATCAACATTCTCCGGTCTCGTTTCATTGGGGTTCCACCGAACATGCAGTCATACACTCTCTGAATTTCCTTTTCTCCAAACCGACCAATTCACTCTCTTCAACACACAAGATACATCGACAGAATACAGGCTACATCAACCAAAAATCAAAAAAGAAATAAAAACAAAAATCACCCACCCACGTCTATCTTTGAACCGTCTTCATCTTTCCCCATTCCCTCTATCTCCCATTGGAAACCCCTCCACCAACATTTGCAAAAATCATCACGCCGTTTGTTTTGTCTTATGATGAGCAGTGTTGCATCTTTTCTCTCAGCATGCGTGATGATTGGAATGGAGAGACGCCGATATTGATTGAAACGACATAGACGAAACGACCATGATGCTGCTGAGTGACGAAAGCGTTTTTACGGCCTTGTGCAGCGTTCAGTTCAGTCCCAGTCTGATTGATTTACACTAAGCTGTTTTTTTTTCAGTTGAACCTTTTTCTTTTTTTCTCTTTTCTTTTCTTTACATTCTCATTTATCTTTTAACATGCATTGCATTCAACTTAACCAACCTATTTGACTTACTCAATCATCTCGAGAAAATCAGATAACATCTTAAACAAAGCCAATCTCTTGATTACTTTTCTCTCGCCCGTCTTTGAAAGAATCACATTACATTTAGCCTCTTTCTGCAGTTCCCATTTTTATTTCCATTTTCATTCAACTCTTTTGCATCTAGGATTCTTTAGATGAACTGAACCGAACCAGACGTTTTGATATGATGACATGAGGGATGAGCCGATGTCTTGAAGTACCTGAGCGTTTGATATCTGAAATGAGATCACTCTTTTACAATCTTCTTTTTCTTGGTACCGTTGCTCTTTTTAAGTAATTGTAATTTGGTAGATATTTTGTAGTGTTTCTTGTATCTTTTTACTTTTTACCTTGTGTTGGAAGGAAGTTGAGAAAGTGGAGCTGAGTTACGGTTAGTGGTTTGCTGAGATTTCACTAGTGAACTATAACTCCCACGACACCCAGCCAAACACAGGCAGAGCCCATGGTCCAACAAACTACAAGGACTTCCTCAAGCCAGACTATACCTCGGGGTCTCTGTCCGCTATAGATATATGAAATTGAAAGTAATATGATGGTGGTGGGATGAGAGTATAAGGATACCGGAGCTTCGGTACTTCAGCCGAACTGAATGTCGGTTCTAGTATGAATATAGCACCTTTGCTCTCTTTATCCTTTCGGGAATTCTATATATCAACACAAAGATCAGCTCTTGGATCCTCGCTCTAATGATCCTGATCAGATGAGGACGATACTCTGTCTCTCCAGCGTTTGAAAATGAGACATTTCCAGCTCCCAGATATGACCTACCCGTCGGTACGTGTGTTCCTGGCCCTGGACGGGGACTAGGGGCTAGACCGATACCGCCCCTAGGATCACTGGTGAAAAGAGGGTTACACCACACCACTTGCAATGATTGGCTCTCGGCCTCGACACCAAATTCCATCTGTCCATACCACTTATTCACCGTGTCGTGGGGACCGCGAAGGTAATAATACGAGGCAGCCGAGTGGTAGTCAAGAATCGCCTGTCAGGATTTGGGCAGTCATATGCAATTCTGCCGTTGCGATCTGGCCGAAGGGATCTCGAGTCAAATGCGTGATCCTCCAGCCGCCAATAACGGTAGCAGTCTCGTCGGATACATCGCGAGATGACGCCTTGGCCTTGTAAAAATTGATCGTTCCCATCATCGACGCCCAGGACCAAGTAGGAGCAACGTACGTGGTATGTCGCGAGGTTGAGAAGCGGGTGTCATTCATGTGTCTGCCGGGTGCCCATGCGATGCTCCTCCGCAGGTCAGCAGCCCACATGCCCGCCACATAGTCGCAGTGGACATATCCATGCACGATGTGAGCGAGGCCACTGAGGGCGGGGAACGTGTCCTCGTATTTGGTCAGACTGCGAGAGGTGTAATCCCGAACGGTGTTTAACCACGAGGCGTAGACCTCATGAGTATCTAGTACCTGGATGCGGTCGAGGATTCGGAGGTTATGTCCGGAGTGGCCCTCAGAAAGTTCACTGGAGATATCCCTCGTTGGCCAGCCTTCCGATGCTTTGAACGCGCGACACTCCCAAAGAACCTGCGATGGAGTGTACCACAAGACCAGGTGACTGATGGTGAAGCCTTTGTAGGCTTGAGGAACCACACGAGGCTGAGTTCGTCAATTCCAGCATCCAAAACAGAAGTGATCTACCCGGGCGCAATCTAGAAATTCTTACTTCTTTAGTGGATGCTTTCGCAACTGCACTTTTCAGTCCTTATATCGGTGCTGTTTCTGCCTTCTCGGCGTACTAGTATGAAGGGTGGGGGTGGATGATAGGTTGATTGATTTATACCCCCCGCGCTAGAACGTCCCTTCCATCCACTCACGCGTGATTACTGCTAGTTGACATATTCCCACATACTAAGCTATAGATTACTATAATATTATTAGATTAGTAGAATTGAAGTAAACATAAAATAAACTAGTTTGTTATACGTGACTTCATGCAAGGGCAGCAAGGCAAGAGTTTAATCATGAAACCTTGAATACTGAGTAATGTGCAAATATGCAGCTGAAAATGCGAGAACGAACATTAAAAGGTATGTAACAATGACCAGAAAGAAGTTAGGTACAAGACAAGGAAAAAGACATCAACCAAAACGCCAACGCTGGAGTGGAAACCAAGGGGGGTATAGAGAATCATGAAGCAATCGTGAGAAAGTAGATACAACGGGTGAGAGACAGGCAGGTCAAGCTGAAGCAGATCAAGACCTTTCTAGCTTCTTCTTTCTCTCGTTAAAGATAGCCTCGAGCTTTCGGAGCTGGAGACCCAGGCCTTTCTTTTCCGCGTTGGCGACCAGCCAGGCTTCCATTTTCTCTCGGACGTATCTCATGGAGTTGACAACGGGGAGGATAGGCGAAGTGGGCGTGTTCTCATCGAACAGAGTTGCGGCGGGGTTGTTGTTGCCTTCAAGTTCTATCTGAACCCATCGCTCTGCACTAGGGTTTAGAAGCAGATCGAAGACATCGGTCCAGATCTCCCGCTCCCAGTACCGTTTTAAGGATTCTCGGATTCGATACGTTCTAGGCCCATTGGGAGATGCACCTTCACTTTGACGGAGAGGGGATGACTCGATGTACTTCCCGAAAAGCATGACATGGACGGTGCCGGCAAGCCCATAGAGATCGATTTGGTGAGTCCATGGCCGCATCTCCTGAATCTCGTTACACTCATGTTTTCTGGCCTCCCAGTCGGCAACAAATTGAACGGATGGCTGGAAAGCGTGCATGTCTATGCCACGACCGAAGTCGATAAGAGAAAGGCCCTTGTTGCCCCAGCCGTATGATCCGCGAGGGGAATAATGCACTTCGCGTGGATCATATGCGTTCTGATCGCCAAGATCGATGAGTGATGGATGTTCTGCTTTCTCTTCGAGCCGCACAAGGCAATTATCGGCTTTGATGTCGCCATGCAGTATACCACATGAGTGAAGTGCCTCCACGGTGCGGAATAACTCCACGGTAAAAAACATAGCAAGGACCTCATCTAAGCCTCCTTCGCCGTGGCCGCCACCTATGACTTGCTCATTTCGGACAAGATTGACAAGATCCAGCAGGGTTCCTTGGCTGCGATAGTCTTCGACAAGGATGCTTTCCCTCTTATACACATGCATCTCGTGAGCATCGATGATACTGTCCGCCGCGCGCGACAAACTGGGTCGTTGGTTCAGGCGGTCATGCGCAGTCCGGATCATGTAAAATTCCCATGGGCTTGGAGGGCCGACTTCCATCTTAATAGCTTCAAAGCCATAGCGAGGCTTGCGTCGTGTTGATTTGTTACTGTTGGTCAGCTGCGAGCCTCCACTGTTACTATCTTCGGATTCGTCGTCAGAATCGGCGGGCAAGCTGTCGATACTCTCCGCTAGGTATACTGGGGCAAATGCACCGGCTCCAAGCTCCCGCCGGATGATATAGCTTCTTTCCGCACCAGGAAGCTCAAGGATGGGCAATTCAAATGACGCTTCGTCACCACTTCGGGAACGCTTTGGCTGAGCCTTCATAAATTTCTGAATGTCAGAGGCATAATGGGCATCCGTCTCCATATGACCGTGATATCCTGCGTATGACGCAAGTGGTGGGTGCAAGGCTGAGAGAATTGTGTTCCGGATGGCTTTGTCCGTAGGATTGCATTGTGCGTCCTGGATGATCGGTCCCTGTCGATGTTTACGGCCGAAAGGAGAGGCTGATTTAACACTAGACAATGCTTTCTTTGCAGTCGGACTCAGCGCAACGTCTTCAGGCAAACCAATCGTAGTATCTCCTTGACGAGGTGTTCCATCGATCAGTGGGGTCGACAGAAGATCTGCCATCTGAGGCTTGGACGGAGTCTTCGCATTGTACAAGTGGTTCCTAGCTGCTGTCAGGGATGCGAGGGAATACTCAGTTTGTTCTACGATGGGGGTCATGAAGGGCAAGCGATTCTGGGCAACTATCGCTGGATCTCGGTATGGGCCGCATGGTGGATTGTAATCGTCAGGCATTTCTGGGATAAACCTTTGTCGATTTTGGTTATCTTCAAAATCATCGCCGTCGATGCTGTCCCTCTCATCTGTGGGGCGTTGCGACACCGACTCCAGGCCCGGGGAGCGAAGACCGGCCAAATCGTCGGCAGCGGAGAACTGAGTCCATTCACCGTCCACAACACTTTCAGCTCGAGTGTTATCGTCAAAACCATCCCCAACGGTTTCATCAAGGGGCCTGTGAAACGTATTGTCGTCATCACCGAAGTCGCTCGAAGCAGCCGATATGTGACCAGTTACGGTACTCTCCCCAGCGCTTGTGTAGTCATCGTCATCGAAGTCGCTACTTTCGGCTGCCTCCGTCTCTGCCTTGAGTGGCTGGTTGAAAATACTGTAGATTTCGTCCGTTGCTGCGCGAGTATGAATCGTCATGGTTGGCTCGGCTGTGCTCTTGCGACGAATTTTGCCCCCCGTCGGAGAGTCGAACTTCATTTTGACTACGCGAACGATCAGTATTACCACAATATGCAGGAATTGGGCCTATGCAAAGCAGTCTTACCCGTCTGTGTCTCCTGTTTAACTTCACGAAGCTTCAACTTTCGTGCTTTACCAGCCTTTGCCTCATGGTGGGCATCTGATTCCGGAGCTTGCTGCTGCGCCGAAATATCTGCTTCCTTGATAGTCAACTTCTCATTGAACTCATCAGGTAGTGCTCGGGCTGATCCAATTCCAACTGAGTTTTCATTGCCCGATATCTGCCTCAAAGGCTCTTTCTGTGGTCGCCATTTCTTGTCCATCCAGCCACGGCGCATGGCTCGCAGCTCCTCAAAGCTGACTTCAATATTGGGGTTTTTATAATCTGGGTATACTGCCTCAAGATTGACGAAAACACGCTCTCGTCTTCCTGTACGCGGGTTTACCGCTTCCCTTACACGATGCTCTGGAACATGCTTTGATTGCATTGACTCTTTCAACTGTGAATTTTGATTTGACTGCATACACATAATCGTAAACCAAGCCGGGTTCATGCCACCAATTAGTCCTGTGATCGTAAATATATGGAATATAAAAACAAAATTTAGAAAATCGTTACTTACCTCATCCCTGAAAATGGTCATCTTCTCCTTCGGAGCAGGCTTCTTTCCAGCCTTCAAAGTCTCTCCCGCCCATGGTTTCGCTTCCACCTTGTTCTCCTTCCGGCGGTCACTCATTGACCCAATACTATCCCATCCCTTGGTCTGTCCAGAGACAGCAGGCTGGCTTGCCGAGTCGGCATCAGAGAAAATGGCCATTTTGGGTTTACCAGATTTGGTCTTCGGCGCTGCAGCAGCTGGGGCCGTTCGTTGTGCCTGGGGATCCGGTGAGGGGGCTGCTGCCGAAGCAAAGGGGTCCACCTTGGCAGCCAGTGCCGGTCGAACTGCGGGTAATGCAGGAGATGAGGGTCCATTATCTTGTGTTCGTTGTTCATAGCGTTGTTGGAATTCACGATACTTCCGAACCAGCCGTTCAACAGGGCGGGCCTCCCGGTCGACACCAAGTCTATACACTTCATCCGCCTGCGTCCATCGTCCCGCGCCTTCGAGCCAGGCGGCGAATTCCTCATAGAATAGCGCGAGTCCTTCTCCGATCTGATGCCGTGCCAGGAATGCAAATGTTTCTCTTGGCGAGTCGGAGAAAAGTCGGATGTAATGGACCCATAACCGAAGGTAACGAGGATCGTTCTTATAGTGAGGCGAAGTCAGGAAGGATTTCACTGCCCGTTCCAGTAATGGGAGAAGACCTGATTCAGGAGTAGCCTGTGAGGAAGGGTATGCGTCCAATGTCCATTTTACATAACGGTCGTAAATATCGAGCGGGTCGTCTGACTCTCCTATTGCCTGCAGTTCTGCTTCATAGTCTTGCCTGATGGCATCGTTGACAGTCCTCGTGTCGTTCGGTGATGGGGAATATAGTTTGTCTTCGGGGCCTTTTGGCGAAAAGATGCGGGCCAGCTCCCTTGCTGAGCGACCACCGGGCAAGGACTGAATGTTCTCTTTCTGATTCTCGATGATATCGAAGTCGACGATCTCTTCTTGGGCCGCCATGGCGGCGAGATGTGCTGATTATATTGCGTCCAAGCGCGAATTGCCGAGTATGTTTTCGAGAAACTGATTGATAAAATCCGAAGATCGCTAGATGAAGGTCGCTGTCGAAGATTTGTTGTAGGGTCGTGGATGGTGATTGTCGTCAGGGATTTGCGGAGGGATCGAAAACGAGCGGAGATTCTTTTTCTTGAGTTTATCGATAAACAGCATCCCTCCCGTTGTCCCGGTAACCGGTCACGTGGGCGTTATGCCATATGAGGCAATATTGGCTCCAGGAACTGCCGACAAGACAGTCTCGACCTTATGGATACCTGGGGGCATTTGGTGTGATATTTAGATAAAAGCTTGATGTTCTAAGTCTCATCCGTAGACCACCGCATCAACCATGTACCTGAAATATGTGTTGTACCTTTGATACGTGGCTCTAGTAAGCATTGTAGCTAACACAGGTCACTGATTCCCAAAGACCTTTTGTATGTAGACGCATTTTACGTCTCTGATATCCAAAACAAGATGCTACTTTGGGGCACTCAATATTTTCCTAGTGTAGCGACCTATTAGGGCCCTTAATTATCAGTGCGGCTTGCGGCGGTCACCCGGTACGCTACGCGCAAACGCGTCATTAAAACCGGCAGAATCATCTCTCGTTCATTAACACCTCCCCAGCAAGGTCGAGATATTCCACCAGCTCCTTGACGTCAAGGGAATTAAAAGCTACTTTGGATAGTAGCGCATACCAAACAACGCTGCTATGCCTCCCCGTGGATCCCGTAAAGCAGCGACTAGTGCTGTCTCTCAATCGCCACCACGCTCGCCTCAAAGCCCTGGAGCTAATAAACGAAAGATTGAGGGCAACCACGAGCCGAAATCCCCGTTAAGGAGATCGAAACGCGTCAAATCAACAGAAGCTCTAGGAAATCCGCCTTCGCCGGCGAAAGAAAAGGTTACTTCCAGAGGACGAAAGACGCAGAAGAGTGCGCCAAAAAGCAACGAGGAGGGTGCAGTTCTCTCCGTCAAAGAAGAGGCCGAGGAGGAAGTAAAGGTCAACGTCAAGGCAGAGCTTGATCAGGGAGGTGCGACAAAGCATGAAGAAGCAGATGTAAAGACGGCAGTGACAGGAACAGTTTCAAAGAAAAGAAAAACGAAGAAGGAAAAAGAATTAGAGATGGTACCCTTGAGGGCCAGGACACAGGGGCTGCGCATGTGCGTAGGGGCCCATGTTAGTGCAGCCAAAGGCGTCTTCAATGCCATCAACAACAGCATGCACATTGGCGGCAACGCATTTGCCTTGTTCCTGAAGTCGCAAAGGAAATGGGACAACCCACCTCTGCAAGATGACCACAGAGATAATTTCCGCCGTTTATGCATAGAAAACAAATATGACGCTGCAAAGCATATCCTCCCTCACGGCTCATATCTCGTCAACCTGGCCCAAGAAGATAAAGCCAAGGCGAAGCAAGCCTACGATTCCTTCCTGGATGACCTTCGTCGCTGTGAAGCACTCGGCATCAACCTATACAACTTCCAGTAAGTACATACCAACCGATCTTAATTACGTTTCCGTCACCCTGAAGCTAACTGAGCAAACAGCCCAGGAAGTGCAAACCAGAGCAATTTCTCCGATGCCTTATCACGACTGGCTAAAGCACTTACAAATGCCCTTGCCGCTACGTCAACAGTCACGCCTGTTCTTGAGACGATGTGCGGCCACGGAACCACGATCGGTGGCAAGCTGACTGAATTCCGTGATCTCCTCGCCATGATTCCACAAGAGTATCATCCTCGCATCGGAATCTGCATTGATACCTGCCACAGCTTCGCAGCAGGATATGACCTTGCTTCGCCCGAAGGATTCAAAGCCTTTATGAAAGAGTTCGAAGATGTGATTGGTCTGCAGCATCTCCGTGCTCTTCACTTAAACGACTCCAAAGCACCACGGGGTAGCAAACGTGATCTTCATGCAAACATCGGGACAGGATTCTTGGGCCTCCGGGCTTTTCACAATGTCATGAACGAACCCCGCTTCGAGGGACTGCCTATGGTCCTTGAGACGCCTATCGATCGACCAGTGTCCTCCATATCTAAGGGTTCCGCGCAAAAGGGTGGCGAAGAAGACAGCGATAGCGCAGCCGACACTTTGAAAAACAAGAAGAAACAGCCGAAAAAACCAGCTAGTGCAAAGGAGCCTACGGTCGCTGATCCCTCCGTCTGGGCCCGGGAGATTGAACTCCTCGAATCCCTGATCGGGATGGACCCCGAAAGTCCAGAATTTCGTGCCCTTGAAGCTCAATTAGCTGAAGAAGGATGCGAAATGCGAGAGAAACAGCAGGAGCAATACGAACGGAAATTAGAGGCCGTGGAGAAAAAGAAAACAAAGAGTCCCGGGAAGAAAAGCCAGAAAACGTTGATGGAAATGATGAACGGAGCAGGAAAGAAGGGCAAAGCAAACAAGGTTTCGAATGATGACAGTGAAGATGAGGGATGTCAAAGTCACACCGAGTAGCGGTGGGCAACAATTTATAATCGTCACAATCTGAAGCACAAATGGTGTCCATTACATATCTACAAATGTATTTATACTCAGCTTGGTGACTCTTAAGGTGCAATGGCACGTGATATAGCTCCATCGGTTTCTGAATCAGATTAATGCAAACTACCAACTACAGATGCAGCAGCCTGCAGAATCCATTAATGAAGTTTTGTCATTCAGGATAACTTAGTTCCTGAATTGTAATTGAAGTGGGTATTGTGTATGAAGAACTCAAAGCCACAAAACTGGGGCCCAAATGCTAAAAAGACGTAGATACACCTCCTATTTCGATGGAAGACACGGTAAACATGGTATCACACAAATCGCTGTCTATATGAGTGACTCTGCCAATATATGCGAGACTCCCTGGGCACTTCAAGGCAATCCTTCTTGAAGTGTTTCATTTGATATAAAAGATATGAGAGCGCCATGCCTCGATATCGCACTTGGAAATTCTGAATCCAAGCGATTATATCGGTCCCTCGACCTATTCGTTCTGATTTGATCGGGCCGAACCCTAAAACAACCAGATGAAACCTGGGCATGGAGGGAAAGCGCAAGTGCGGGACGAACCATAGCCGTGGCGTCCAGCACAATGGAATATAGAAGAACCGCTAAAACGAGGTAGCAGCCCAGCCTAACGCCTCTCGCGAGAGGATGCTCTTTCAGGCGACGATTGAAGCTGACTTCCCGTACCGAGGCTTCGTCCCGCTTTCTGTAGTTCGGATTCGGCAGACACCACGACCGGTGGCGCTGACTTCAAGGGAGATGGGGCAGACACTCGTGGCGAGTACACTTTATCTTGGTCACTTAAGTTAGCGGTAGAAATGGTAAGCCCTTGTGTGCTGCTGCTGGCACCGCTGGCTCGAACGCGGAATGACCGCCGACCAAGAATCGAATCATCAGCAGGCGTAATGTTGACATTTTGATCGCCACGTGTATCCGACGAAGCGCGTAGCATACTTGTTTCCGGATTTGCAACGCGGTGATATCCTCCGCGACCTCGGGAGGGATCCGAGTCTTCTGTTTCCGAGTCCGACTCTAGCTCAGGCTCCCACGTGCCCTTCCGAGCTTCGGCACGCATCTTGGAAATCTTCATATAATTGTAGGAACCGATACTGCTGATGGTAATGACCAGACCCACAATATTTATGAGTGTGAGCTGGTCATGGAATACCACACCTGCAGCGCTTATCGTGACCACTTCTTTGAAGATACCACAGATGCTCAATGTGACGACTGATGAGCGCTTGAGAAGCGCAAATTCTGATGAGATCATACAAAACGCCAGGATACCAGGGAATATGAGGAGAAAGGTCGCAAGCATGCCACCATGAGCGTCACTGAGAGCGACGAAGCCCGTAACAATCTGAGATGGGCCTTCCACGGCCAGCGCGATAGTGATCAAGGAGATAAACATGACGGGAGTAAGGAAAAAGAGGGTAGAGAAAGGGTTAGCCGTAGCCGGATGCCGCAGCAAAAGGATTTGTGTCAAGCCCCATCGGAAGCCCGAGAAGAAAGCGGATGCGATGACTAGCAGGAATCCAAGAATGTTGAAAGCAGTCTCGCCTGCGACCATCATGACGACACCGATAGTCATTGTAGCAATGATGACGATCAACCTGGCCGACGGAGTTTCTAGGCGGAAGAGGAAAGCAAATAGTAGGACGAAAGCTAGAGCAGATGATTTACACATAGTAAGGAACGTGAGAGAGATGAATTTCAACGACATATTGCCCAGGCCAATATCAAGGGAAGTTGCTGCACCGCAAGGAACGAGACGTGTGAAATAGAATGCTTTCGATACGACACTATTCTCGGACCCATCTTGCTGCCTCATCGGTGATCCGGAAGGCGATGACGCGGGCGCCCGCGGGCGCAGCGAAGGAATCAAGTATAGGATGAAGGATGATAGTGAGAACTGAACGAGCATGTGTAAACTGGTGGTAAATAACGGAAAGGGAAAGACGACATCATCCTCGGAAAACATCCATTTATTGTACTGCAACACACATTGCCACGGTCAGTTGTGTCACGTTCCTTGAATGCTATCTTATGTCCCAGGGACACCAGGGTACTCACGATTGATATCGCCAACGAAAAGAAATACCACATCAGAATCAACCCTGCGTTGACCAACAGTCTCCTCATCACGTTTCGATCCGCCAATCCAACCGAGAACACATCGCTCTGGGAACCCTTGACTCCGGCGATCCGAGCATCCAACTGTCTCCGTTGCTTTCTTCGCCGCCGTCGCTGGCGTCTCTGTTTTGCAGTCAGACCGGTCTCTTCATCATCTTGGAGGTCGTCCTCGGAGCTCTCAGCGATCGACGAGAGGTCGGACACGTCTGCGTCCTCGGCGGCTTTCTGTTCTTCCCGTTTATAGCTGACAGAGTCGCCATTGGTGCGCGGGTTATCGTCCCTCTGCTCGGTCGGGCCTACCTGTGACGGGCCCCCGGTACCCGTGAGCACTGAGCTCCGCCGGCGATGGTGATTTCCCGAGGGAGAGAGACCCATCCTGGAATGCTAGCTTGTTGAAAGAGGGGGAGGGTCTTCAGGGGGGGAGGGAAGAGTTCAAGGAAAGTGGTTAGAGGAGGGGGAAAAAAAAGAAAGTTTTCGCTAGAATGTAAATGACTCCATCAGTGGTAGATCAACGTGAAATATACACTCGTGGTCCAACGTTCAATTGTCGCAGCAACTGAGGATGGACACGGAAGGGGAGCACACGAAGTCCGGAAAGGAACGAGGAGAATCGGTGAGGAAATCAACAGGACTAGCCCGGATAGGTGTCAAAGGAGATGAAACTGAGAGAAAAGGGAACTAATGAAAGGAGGGAGGGACAGGAAAGGAAAGGAAAGGAATTCAAGACAAAAGGAGCAAGAAAGGCCCGTGGAGCAGCATGCAAGGGCGAGAGAAAGAAGCATAAGATGGGTAGTAGTAGCAAGCAGAAGCAGCAGCAGTAGTAGCAGCAGCAACAGCAATAGCCCAGCAGCGCAAAACAGCCTTTCAGACGCGATGGAAAAAGGAAAAACAAAAAAAAAAAAAAATAAGTATGTATATGTATTGTAAGGAGCGTCAATTTTCATGGAAATTTCGGGGTTTGGGGAAACAAAAAGGAAGGGAGTTGCAGTGGTTTTGGTCGATTTGCAGGGTCAGCCGTCAGTTTAGTTTTGGTTTTTGAAGAGAGCAAAGCAGTGACACTAGACCCGAACTAGACCTGCTCTCCTGAAATTTTAATGAAAATTATTCCTGTCGGCATTGTTGGTATGAAATGCTAGACTAGTATGATGACTTATTGACTTATCGCTGAATCCACTTAATCTTACTCTCCACCACCGCCACCACCGATAAATGCGAATACGAACCAGAACGTCCGTCTTGAATTTGAGTCCACTGCACTAACACTTTAGCAAACCTGATCCAGTAATCTAAACAACAACTTCAAACAGGGGTCATGTTTTGTAAGTATGTATAGAAATAATAATAATAAGTAACAATCACAATAAAAATAAAAAAAATAAAAAATAAAAAACAAATATACATAAGTAAGAAGAGGGGGTTAAACAAACTACTTGTAAACTATACAACAAACTTCATACTAGACTAATTTTGATAGTGATCAGTGATCACACACATCCTTCAGGGTCTTCTCTGGTATCGTGCTCTTGGACCTCTCATCTTCCGGGAATCCTCGTCTGTTGGAAGCGGGGGTTGCAGATATCTGGGTCCCTAATTTAATTTGGTTTTTTTTGGTCCCTTTCCGGACGATCCGGGGTCGTCCATTTATTGTTACTTATGCCGGTGCCTTAAGAAGAGATGTCCACGGACTGTTGATCCCACGATTGGTTAGGCCAGCGACCGAAGGTTCAACGAAAGGTCGAACTATTGGAGTGGGTGAATCAGATACACCATATTTTTTTTTGTTGTTGTTGTTGTTGTTGCAAGTGACCTTTCAATCCTTCCGCCAACTCATGATTTCTCATTAGGCATCAGTTTTGGCCTGAACTCCATTTCGTTGCACACCGACTTCTTGGCTTCGAAGAACCGGCTCAATTTCTTTAGTTCCATTTTGGTCCCGTCCCGATGGACAATGTCTGTGATTCGCCACAGGGAAAACACCCACTGGGTTCCAGACAATGACATATGATCGGTACGATCTTCCAGACTCCCATGCTTTGGACATATCGGACCCGAGGGTCGATGGTTGATGATGTTGTGATTCCATCACCACGGGGACATCGTCAGCAAGGATAACCATCATCATGTCATTGTACATGCGTCCCCAGGTATCCTACCCGCTGGTGTCATAGTTTGCCATGGTCGCCCTTGCATTCGCCGAAAGGGAGTATGATGCATTCTATCGCAACAACTTGTACATTTCTCATAAATTGCCATTTATCGTCAATCGAAACCACTCTAAAACGCAAGCTAAGGGGGACGAGGCCGTGGTAAACATGCATTCCCGTGTCCCCTGTTAGCAAGGAATGTACCTTGGATCACATTTGCTAACCTTGTCTTTGACTTTCATGCCGTTCCCCGGTTCGCTTGCCCGAAAGACAAAAGGAAACACGGCGCACTTCTCCAGATCGCAAGCTTAAGCAAGCAGCAGTGCTGACCTCATTCGACCTGTCAAGTGATGACAATGGTTTTGTTGAGACTTCAGGTCATCTGCCTTTTTGCCCAAGAGAACTGCTCGGCAGCCGATGTGCAGGCGAAAAAAATAATAATAAAAAAAATAATAAAATCAAATCAAATCATATAAAACTAAATTGATAGGTCAATAAACCAGTGGCCGGCCACTTCAATACTTAAACTGCAACATCCTGTTAAGATTGGGACGAGTATGGGCAATAGCCTTCCCTCCCGCCTTTCCTCCCGGGTATAGTCCTGGCAACTATACTGCATGGGCTAAGCTCGGTGGCAAAGTGAGTACATAATATTGCAAACAACTCATGTTGGAAGAGAAACTAGCAATTATCAATGAGCCGGATATACCAAGGTACCTCCGGTATAAATCAATGCGGAACAGGGCTACAAAGGGCCAGTGTTCGTCTCCCCGGGCTTTTATAAGACATACATACCCCTTAACACACCTTAACAGAAGCTTAAATGCAACGTGTGTCCCACGGTCAATGCCGGCGAATTAATGTGAACTCACATGTTAAATCCATAAAATCACCACTTGCAGTACCATATACTCTTCGGAAGAACATGGATAGCCGTTAAAGCTGGCACTACGAATATAGTCGTCGACGGTTACTTTCTCCAACCTTCAAGCCAGTAGTACTATTATTATTAGTAGTAGTAGTAGACGTACCAAACACAAAACCAGAACAACTAAGTTCCCCAGAAACCATAACAGCATCCCACAACACCCATAAAAACCTAGTCCATGCGATCAAGGAAAACCCCTGAGCACAAGATAATCCAATATCACAAGCCCCAGTACACCCTATTATACTATGTAAAACCGAACCCCGGAATAAACGACACGCCAAATCCCTACACAAACGAAAAACCAGCATAGAATCACTACAGACCACAACCGCCAACCTAGGGCTGGCTAGTACCGGAGTAATAAAAGAATACACCATCTAAAACCCCCCATGACCCTCCCTCCTCAAAACAAACACACCCAGAATAGCACCTTACCTAGATTTCCCTCGTCCCTGTCCTACCTCTCTGTAATAGTACAGCTTGCCAGAAACCCATCTACTTAATGTTGAGGGTAGTTTCCATGGACAGACAAACAGGTAACACGCTGTCGGCACTCAGGCTCCATGCATGCATTAGCGTGGACTTTAGTGTCTTCATAGGGTGAGCTGCAGGGGGGCGTGTGAAGATCATGGTGATCGTGGGGTGACTTTGTTTTAGTTTTATGGTTGGGGTTTATTATATCACTTCTACTTTTATGTTATAATTCCTTAGGGAGGTTTGGATGATTGTTTGGGGGTTTTTTTTACTAGTGTTTTTTGCTTCTAATCTCCCTTGATAGGGTTAAATTTAGCAGGATTGACTCAAATGCCTATGGTCGTAGGTTGGAACAAAAAAGAAAAAAAAAAAAAAATGCAAAGTCGGTCATCTCATTCATAAAGATCTGTTTCTAAGAGTAAATCTAATGGATAAGCCAAACCATATGTTAAGGCTCCAATCCAACACCATCTCATCGTATCAGATACTACACACTCCCGGGCTGCAGACATACAGGACACATACAGGAGGCAGCCTTGTATCCCAACACCGGCAACCCCCGCACATTCTCTCAGTTAAATAACAAAGTATTCCCTACTTCGTTTATATCACGTGTACCTTCCTCGTGGTTCCTTCAAAATAAAAGAAAAAAAAAAAAAAAAAAAAGTGGCTCCGCACAACCATTAGTATGCTTCACATGGAGGGGTACGTATGCATTCCCTCTGCCGCGGTAGTCCCCTTTCCCGGTGTGGCGCTCATGGGTAGTTTCATCCCCTGCGACTTATATGGAAAGGGGTCCCTTCAGTTTGGCAGTTGGTTTGAAGCGTTATATTCAACCGCCCTTCCGTGGTCCAGCAGCTCCAGGCCCTGGAGATGGGTTTGGGTTGGTAGATGCCTTTGCGGAAACCGACCGCGAGAAAGCATTGGCTGTACCAATCGTCGCACTGGCGTTACGCAGCTCGATCTTCTTACGTTCCATTTCAAGCTACTTGTAATTAGCGTTTCCTTCGTAAGATATTCAGCGAAAGGAGTAAAAGAGCGTCACATACCACCTTGCGCACTCTAGCAAGAGCAGCCGTGTCACCCGCCACCAATGGCTGACAGTCGTCCACAAGGTACGGCGCGGCGATTGACACCGCATCGGCCACAATTATGCTTGTTCCATCCCACCTTGTGGGCATTGTGCGGCTAAATGCATCAAACAGATCCTGAGCTTCGCGAGTAACTCCCTTGCCACGCTTCGCCTCACCCTCTTGCAGTTTACCCACTGCATTAGCCTCTCGGGTCTTCAAAGCCCGAATGTCGAGCGCATGCACAGATGGCACGGCATCAGCGAAAGAAGGTCCCTCCGCACTGTTGGATGATGGAGCAAGCGAGAGAAGTTGGAAGGACTGTATACGCGAGATCGGGATGATGCGATAATCAGCTGCGGTCTGCTTGGTGTCGGCGGCAGTGTTAATAGCAACAAGGTTCGTGATTGGGCATGCCGTAAACAAAGTTCCCTCAATCGTCGTGGAGACCGGGGCGGTAGTGATGCGAACGCTGTTAAGATAACAATAGAGTTAGCACCAACAAGCGATGATCATTTTGTCGTGTACGAGCGTTTTCTGTTCAGAGGGCATCGTGTCCTTTGAAAAGTCGCCGTAGCAGACAGAAGTTTAAAGCAAGTAGCTGCTTACCGTGCACCAATTGCACCGCTCAAGGCGACCTCCAAAGGAACCATAGATCCGGCCATTCCCTGACCTGTGGCACTAGAAGCTCCTTGCGATGACGCTCTCACTCCGGCACCGTGACGCTTTTTCTCTGCCATAAGCCACCCTCTCAGACTAAGCAATTTTCAAGCTTTGTCACTTGGGATGAAAGGGAGATTCAGATCCCGCTTATGCAAGAGTGCAGCTGAATTGCTTCTCGGAAGGCAACGAAAGATCGCCTTGGACAATCAGCCCAGCAGGGAGAATACACTACACCAGGCGATTTTTGCAGTTGTAGCAGGCAACAATTTCCCGGCCGCGGGGTTATAAGCTACTGACTGTCGATTCGCAGTAACAACAGGAGCTGGTGCCCCAATTAAGCAAGGTGGGACGTAGCCGGAAGCTGGGAACCTGATAAAAGGAGCGACGGAAGCAACACGGAAGGAGAAAAGAAGCCTGTCGACAAGGGTATGGCCAAACAGACGAGGATATTGTCTCAGACTGCTGGCGCGTAGTCTAAGAGAGGTGTGGTAGTGCTCCGTCAAAGGATGCCAGCTAACCCACTAACGATAAGTTGGGTGAGGTCGACGTTCAGGTGCACAACCAATCAATCCCAATTCGGCTTAGTCCGGGCGGAGACTACCGTGACGACGGCCTGCCCTCATCAGTCTTCAGACTTTAGTACTAGAGAGGGGCTGCAAGTCGCCCTTTGATTTCTACATTGAAGTCAATACTTCTTACTCTTCTTAACCTAACAGAATCAGCTATCCGTTGCGCTATCCATCATGAACAATATCAGAACATATTCATTCAATCCGTTTCCATCAGTAAATAGCGGACTAAAACATTTAAATACAGGGTGATGAACCGATTTCTTTTTTAATTTATCATAATCATTCTATGTGATGCGGGAGCCCGACAAGCCCTCGCACTTTTGCCTTATCCTATTACCATCTCGGTCCAGGGTAGAGTTTCACGTCCAGCGCAGTGTCGTATCCTCGTTTAATTTAAGCAATGTAGGTAGAGGCGGACACGTTACCACCGCGTCCAGTCCAGTTAACGTGGATGTCCTTGCCCTCAGGGTAGGTCTCGCTGGCGTGCTCGGGCTTGACGCGGAAGGTGTGGGCACCGAAGTAGTCACGCTGAGCCTGCAGCAGGTTGGCGGGGAGGTCCCGAGTGCGGTATCCGTCGTAGAAGCTGAGAGCAGTGCTGAAAGCAGGAGTAGGGATACCCCAGAGAGCACCCTTGCTGACAACGTTTCTCCAGCCATTCTGGGCCTTGGCGATGGCTTCGTTGAAGAACTTGTCGAAGAGGAGGTTCTCAAGGTCGGGGTTCTGGCGGTAGGCGTTGGTGATGTCCTTCAGGAAGACAGAGCGGATGATACAGCCACCACGCCACATAAGGGCGATGGAAGGCTTGTTAAGCTTCCAGCCGTACTCCTTGGCAGCCTAGATTTTAAATAAGTAACTGCCAAAACTAATGTTACGTGAGTCAGGTTAAAGTGGACTTACCTCCTGCATGAGCATGAAGCCCTGGGCATAGGAGATGATCTTAGAAGCATAAAGGGCCTGCTCCAGGTCATCGATGAAAGCCTGCTTGTCACCGGTGAACTGAGGAGTGGGGCCTGGGAGAAGGCCGCTAGCGCGGACACGTTCGTCCTTAATGGCACTGAGGCAACGAGAGAAGACAGCCTCGCCGATCAGGGTGACAGGCATACCAAGGTCAAGAGCGTTGATGGCGGTCCACTTGCCAGTTCCCTTCTGACCGGCCTTGTCAAGGATCTTCTCAACGAGAGGAGTGCCGTCGTCGTCGTTGAAGCGAAGGACATCGCGGGTAATTTCGATCAAGAAGGAGTCCAAGACACCCTTGTTCCACTGGGCGAAGACTTCGGCGATTTCGCTGACAGGCATGCCAACACCACGCTTGAGAATATCATAGGCCTAAAGACAGTGCATGTTAGGGTCTGTGTCTGATAGAAGAGTAGTTCTGACTCTAAGATGACGTACCTCGCAGATCAGCTGCATGTCACCATACTCGATACCGTTGTGGACCATCTTGACGTAGTGGCCGGCACCCTCATCACCGACCCAGTCGCAGCAAGCCTCGCCGTCGCTCTTGGCGGCAATACTCTGGAAGATATCCTTGATGTGAGGCCAGGCCTGCTCGTTACCACCGGGCATGAGAGAGGGGCCGTAACGGGCACCCTCCTCACCACCAGAGACACCGCTGCCGACGAAGCGGATGCCCTTCTCGGCAAGGTACTTGGTACGGCGGTTGCTGTCGGGGAAGTGGGAGTTACCACCATCAATGATGATATCGCCCTCCTCAAGGTGGGGCAGGAGAGACTCAATGAACTGGTCGACGGGCTTTCCAGCCATAACCAGGAGCATGATACGACGGGGACGCTTCAGCTTGGCGCAGAACTCCTCAATGGAGTGAGCACCGACAATGTTCTTTTTACCTGAATAGTAGTCAGCTTGGCTAATCTTTCTAACAACTAATCGGTGAGTTTGGGATCCCACCCTTGGCCTCATTGTCAAGGAAGCGGTCAACCTTGGAAGTTGTGCGGTTGTAAGCGCAAACAGTGAAACCGTGATCGGCGACGTTCATGATCAGGTTCTGACCCATGACGGCCAAACCGATCAGACCGAAGTCAGCACTAGGAAGAGGGCGCGCCGGTGCGCCGACATTGATGCCGGCCAAGCGGGCGCTGAAGTCAGTGGGTAAATTCTTCTGTCAATGAATGGGCAAAGACAAGGCAGAAATGGGGAGAATAATAAAATAGGGTAAGATAAGAGGGAATTGTATGAAGATGGATGCAATCCCATATCAGGCTATGACATTGGGAGAGAACCAGAACGTCATCTGATCGATTGTCGCAAAGCTATCAATCGTCTTGGACCATGGTTCATAACCCCCAAGTTCCCACGCCAAATGCGTGAGGGTTGTTGCGAAGGAGGGCGACGCCCACCATAAACGGGGAGGACGATATCGGAAGTGCAGCAGGGAGGGGGATGGTCGTGATGACCTCAAGGATACTTACACTGCCTGGTCAGCCATTATGAGAGAGTGGGGAGGACTTTTCCTGAGGGGGTATTAAGGAAATAGTATGTATAGCAGTATCAATATGACTGCCCCAAAGAAGGTAGATGGAAGGATGAAGATATAGGTAAGAGAAAGAGGAAAGGAAGAAAGGAGAGAGAAGAGACGGAAGAAAAGGGAGAAGCAGTTCGAAGATGTCAGACCCGAAAAGGCTTACGGAGCAACTCTTCCGTCATTCGGTGGGACAGAAGAGGGCGAAAGGCGGGGCAGTAGAAGACCATGAGGAGCAGAGTCGTCCGGTCCGGTGAAATAGTTGGTACTTAGTATACATGGGAATCCCACGGAATGCGAATGATTGATTTTCAAACAATATTGGCTTTAGAATGATTATTTTAGATTGTCTACAATGCCTATTCTATGTCAATTGTGTCCCTTCGATATAATGCCTTCAAAGAAAAATTATTTACAGCCAGTGACGCATACATAACTTTTTTTTTTTTTTAACGGTACAGTAGCTTGCTTCGGAGATGACGGAGCATTGCAGCTGTACCGATGGCGGGGCACATGGAGGGGCAGAAGCGCTGCTGCAGTGAAAGGAAAAGCAACAAAAACCGCCGCAGCGAATGTCCAGGGTCGCCAAAAAAAAAAAAAAAAAAAATCAGGTACCTTCGGTGAAGCAGATTCGGGCACGGATCAAATCATTGTCCGCCCTTCTACACCAACCATCGTCCCCTCCGGAATTTTGTCTCTTCGGGCTTTATCTATCGGCAATCAATGTGTACCCCCGTAGATAAACACTCCCTCCCATTAGCCGTGGGATAATTTAATGAGCTTACGGGATTATTATCCCACTCTCAGGACCGTCTGATCACATTAATGGTCGGCTATTGCCTTGCCGAAAGAGGAATAGGGTGGGGGTGCAAATCCGTTGGGGCTGATGAGACAATGACGCTTTTGTGAAAAAAAAATGCTGACAAAGACACTGTGGCTGCACATGTGTGGCTAAGGAACATTATTTCTCCGTAGATAACTCTATCTCTACGGCAAGCAGGACGGACCACTTGGGCCTTTTTTTCCACTCCAACGCCTAAAACAAGCCTTCTTCCCTGTTAACATCTTGATCAAGATCTGGGTGGCCAACTTCATTTTCGAATCCATATCGGAACAATCCCCATCCTTGATAACACAAACCATACATCTTGTTCTTTATACGTCAGCCACTTATTTGATTGCCCTTCTGCTCAACTCCATACCTCGAAGGGAACTTCAATACTCCCATCGCCTCAACCACCCCGTGAAGTCGCAATACCATCCAGTAATACCTCAAACATCAAATATTCCCCCTTCGGGTCACCGACCTTCCGTCTACATTTGAACTCAGGACCCTTTTCAGGCGTGACGTCTGGCGTGAGACTGCTACGTCAGTCAAGCCCTGAAGGTACGTGTCTGGCTAATTTGCATACGGCGCATCACATCCATCGTCTCTATTCGAACTCTCCATTCATCATGTCCTTTCCGCCACCTCCAGGTCTGAAGCAAGCACCGTCTTCGCTGCCACCGCGGCCACCAAATACAGCATCCCCTTCCCCTGCATCGTTTCAGCCCGCATACTCGGCTGCGCCATCGTATTCGTCCGCAGGGACCAGCAATGGATATGGCAGCAGCGGGCCTCGGACAGGCTACAATGCTTTCACAGCATTTGCGCCACGCTCCGTAGCTTCTAGTCAACCTTACCGTACCAGCAGCCCCGTCGTATCTGCTCCACCAGCCGCCTCAGCCGGATACTCCACCCCCACTACGGCAGGCTACGGTAGCTACTATTCGCAGCCACAACAAACATACCAAAGCGGAGCCTCGTACTATGGCTCTGCCCAGTATAATGAAAACACATATGGTCCGTCCGTGCCTCGGATTCAGAATCCCTTCTCCGCTCCGGGAGCTGACCAAGCAAACAATTATGGTATGCGCGGGAAGAACTTTGGGCGCAATGAGTCTGGTTTAGATCCGGAGACAGAAGCACAGATTGCACAGTGGCAAAGTGCCTATGCGAACAGAGACGAAACACAGGCGACGAGCAAGGTTCCTGGCCGCCGAGACGGATACACGGTGTCCGGCGCCGGCTCCGGGGTCAATACCCCCTCCGGCACCGCTACAGCAGCTACCACTCCGGCACCCGTTACAGGCCAGGCCGAGCCACAGACGACCGTTGCTCGGGCTGGTGGTGGCCAGACCTGGACCGACTCAACTCTTTTGGAATGGGACCCCGCACATTTCCGTCTTTTTGTAGGAAACCTTGCCGGCGAAGTCACGGACGATTCGTTGCTGAAGGCGTTTGCGAAGTACACGTCCGTCCAGAAAGCCCGGGTGATCCGCGACAAACGCACTCAGAAGAGCAAAGGGTATGGGTTCGTCAGTTTCAGTGACGGAGATGACTATTTCAAAGCCGCGAGGGAAATGCAAGGGAAGTATATTGGGTCCCATCCTGTCCTACTCCGCCGTGCCACTACTGAGGTCCGTCCGGTGGCTAACGCAAAGAATGGTAAAAAGCACGGCGGTGGGGGTGGCTCGGGAGGCAGCCACGGTGGAGGAAAAGTTAAGCATGATGGAATTAGAAAGCCTGGAAAGACCAAGGGTGGGCTTAAAATCATCGGATAGTGCGCAGGTATTTAGATTGTATTCGTACGCTGAGCGTTCTTAACATAAAATTATAATGATACACATTTGAGTCCTTTATACTAGTATCAAATGGTCAACTCCTGAAAATCAACATGCAGCATAAAATCCATCTCATTATCTCATCAAAGAAATCTGATATATCTCAAATCTAACAAACATATGATACAATTCCATCAATCCACCTAGAAAATATGCACATCCTAAAATCATGTCAACGTATCCCAAAATTGATATATAACCACAGAACAAGAACAATATGAACACCAATACGTACTTTTCCAACAAAAGCCACCGACAACGGAAAGCAACATGAAAGGAATACCCAAAAGTCATATAAACTCATATCAAACCATAAGACATAACCATAAACATAAACATAATCAGCATAAGAGTTCCTCGCATCGCAGTTCGTGATCCCATAATCAAAACCCATCTGTCCCCGATATTTATAGGTCGTATGTATAGCGTAGCGTAGCATAATAGAGAAAGTTCGATCGGCAGTATCCGCGATGAATTAAGGGTAGTGGGAGAAAAGCAATCCATAGCGGCTCGGGGGGGTTGGAATGCGTGTTCCGGTGGGGGGAGGGGGGGGCATGGAGTCAATAGCCCGAGTCGGGTCGTCCCGAGGTATGAATGAACAGTTGCGACATCGTGCGTCGTCAGATAAAAGTTGAGTAAAAATTCAGAGTTCGGAAATTTTTTATCGCAAACTATCCTCCTTCTTCTGCACTTTCTTCATCGACGGCTCTCTTCTTCGAGAAGAACGAGACGTGGTTTTGCATGGCGTAGATTCCGAAGCCGGCGATGGCGAGGATGAGGAAAAGGATGATGATGATGAGTGCGATGGCGTCGTTCTTTTTCATTTTGGTGGACCGTAGATATATTTAATTATTTGTCTCGCAATTGAAGACTAGAATAAAGCCCGTCGGAATTAAGATCGCTGGGATAAAGAAGAACAGGTGAAGATCGGAACCAAAAGACCGATGGTAAATAGTTCGATCTATGCAATCGGGTTATCGATAGATGAGTTGGTGGGGTGAATTGATTTTCTCGAAATCCCCAGAAGCATTCCAAGGGATATCAGAGGAAGAAAGGAATGGAATGTATGGGAGCCTTCAGTATAAGAGGGGAAAACGAGGTAGCACGACGTGGCCCAGCCATGTTGATTTCAGTCCTTGTGGTGGTGGCTGGACGGATTGGAAATTAGTTTAGTATCTTGGATGGATCTCTCCATTAGTTGGAGGATTAGAGTGAGTGGGTCGATAAGCACGTGCTGATTGGGTATCTGATACATAAGCTGTCGGGCTAATTATTAGGGGGCCCAGGTACCAGGGACTTGCTTGGTCCCAGCCTCCAGATTTTTGCCCTAACACGGGATGAGAACTTGCTTCGGCTTACTGAGTTGGCCCCATCATAGCGCCTGTTTACCCTGTTTTGTGGTCAATGGGCCGACTTTTATCTAAAGTTAGTAGCTCGCTCGAGTGTCGATCTTCGTTAGATCGTGTACCATTTTGCCTGGAGATTTGAAGTTGTCATGGGTCCAGGTGAAGTGGAAGCCTTCAACAACCAGAACCATTCGATGGTTTTTCAAGCCGGCTCTCTTGCATGCCCTATAATATCAACCATCGACTACATATCATCAATTAGTCTAACTACTCATTACAGTATTTCTGTATAATGATGTGTCTACACAGCAGAGAATATATGATCCTAACTTAATTATATATATCTTCAGCGTCTGCTCTAGTTGTTCTTTTATAGGCTATACTAATACGGAGTAACTGTGGGTGACGGTGGAAAGACCATACCAGTTGTGCGTGGTCTTTCCACGCTGTGCATTGCTGCCTTACACAGTTAGATTTGACAATATCTAGTTTGTCTTAGTTTATATTTGCTTCGAAGCAGGGATCAATACTCTGTCTATTAACACTGTTGAGGGTCGATACGTGTGGGCCACTCTTTAAACGAGTGCACAATTAAGTAAAAGAACTAACAGCATATTGCATTGAATTGCCAAACAAAAATGATCCCCAGTACGAAACGCAGAGCGCATTAAAAGCGATAGACAGCAAATTTCACGGTCAGTTCGCCAAAATGACAGAAATACCAAGGCTCACTTAAACAAAACGCGTAATGGTGCGAAAGCCCTGGTCGTTGATAACTATATCGCCTTCTGCCCCCGTAGGCTGCCGATTAAACATGGCTCTGAAAGGGATTACAAGAGGTCCTCCTGTAATCGATGTCGGCGTGATGATTACTTCCTGAATACAGAAGGCGAGTTGGCTGTTCGCCTGCTGCCGGACAAGGGGGGGCATCTGGTTGGGTTGTTGGCGTAGCTGATGGATTGCTTGCCTTGTAACGGGCCTTGGAATGCTTGGAGGCGCGAGTTGCCATTTTTGGAACTTGATTTTCCTAGTGGGTGCGTTTATTGAGAGGAGAATAACTATTCTGGTGTCCCCAGAGGAATTTTGAAACCACCAAGTGGCGTCTCGCTGAAGCTTTGCCAAAGACTCTGAAACACCCGTTTCTATCACGAGCGACGGCCAGCCATTGAACTGGCCACCCAGGGGCTGGCGGTTGGGAGGGTAAAAACAGTCGTCCGGCTGTTTACCATGGGTAGTAACAGCGCCAGGTGTCGTAACTGTATGTCCCCAAACAAGATCGCTGTCTGCCACCCCCATTCGAATGCACTGCCGGTCGATGTAGTGGTCCACACTAGATGTGGTCAGATCATATGGAATAGATGGGACTACTTTGATAAGTCCCGTTGTCCCAATCCACATAAACCGAAACGCGATGCCCGACAGGCAGTCGGGGTCATTGCTCAGCTTGTCAATGGCGGCTTGTGACATGGCCCTGATAAGGAGCCATTGATTTCCTTGCCAATCATTCTGCTCCAACTGCCCATAGATAAATTTCACCGCGCTCTGCAATTGCTCTAGGGTGGAGTATGATGAAAATGACCGGAGCTGGTAGCCTTGTGGCAAGCCAGCCCCAAGGTCGTACCTATCACTGATCACAGTAGGGGATGTCCCGCTTAGGGTACGCTGATGAGTTTGACTCGTAGCCGGCTCTGACAAAGCATCAGTACCGTAGGTAGCCATTGTTGCGGAATTAAGTCAAGAGTTGAGTGAGAGTAAACTGAGAGTAAACTGAGAGTAAACTGAGAGTAAACTGAGAGTAAACTGAGAGTAAACTGAGAGTAAACTGAGAGTAAACTGAGGAGAAGTACTGTGAATCGAGGTCCAACAAAGTAGGTGTGATGCTATTGAGAAAGAAATGTACAAGAGGCAGATATGAAGATCCAAAAGGTACGTATGGAGTAGGGAAGTAGGGCAAGTCGTAAAAGAGAGGCCACGGGTATATTTACATTTGAAGGGCTATATTCACATACCATTCTCCATTGTTGGATCAACAAGAATATGCAGCGGATTGGATTAAGATTGAAACGTGAATCCTGTAGGTTGTTCTCTACAGAGTAGATTAAGTGCCTTAGTAGGTAGTCGTCAACCCCAAATCATACATGCGCAATGATGTAGTAGTAGTAGTAATGTTTATTATGGTTCAGGGCCGGATAAAATAATTATCCTATGTCAAGGCAAGCGATCCTAAAGAAACTCATGAATGACTACTGCCTAAAAGAGGTTAAAGGTCATAAGTAAGCTGATATCTAGCATGTCGTCGGTCAAGGCGATCGTAATCCTGCAAGTTAAATGCGTGCGACAAGCCCTTCACCCGACGAATACGCCTTCATATAAGTCTATTGACTACATTCAAGTAGAAGTACGGTTAGCTCTAGATCTAGATAAGGTATAATTTCGGTATTAACATGCAACTGAGAATTTACTTTGTAAACTTTCAAAAGTTTACCCCGTAACTCTATGCCCTTAGGAAATGTATTCTAGGCCCGATCCACCTATAACGGGGAATTGTCGGAGCTTTCGTGCCCACAGCAAACTGTCGAACCCGTGGTTGGCTTCTAGAAAAGCTGCAGTGGTGACCTTAATTCCTTATCCAACAGGGAAAGTGGGTCCGAGAAACACGATATCGTCCACCCTGAATGCCGTTTGCGATCCGCACAGCAAGAGCCTAATTGACCCCAAGTGGCCAATCCTCGTATTTGTCTAGATTATCAGGGGCTAGTATGTACGATATTATACGAAGGAGGCCATATCTGCGGAATTTTACTCGAATCCAGCCTTTCTTGCTAGCCCAGCGTGCGTCTGTCTTCTACGCTTGATGCTGCCCTGCGAAAAGAATGCAGCCATTATTAGTCTGCCAAACAGCCGTGCAATATGGCTCCCCTGGCAGGCGATCGCAAATCAGTCCTGGAGGGAACATGGGCCCTTGCTGCGGTAGCGATGGTGGTTATGGTCCTTCGGGTTGTGGCGAAACTAAAGCTTCACCACTTCGGGGGAGATGATTGTGCAATGATTACAGCTCTGGTAAGAATAGCATCTCAAGGATTTTGTACGTGGTAAAAACAGACGAGTGGATTCGGCTAACTATTTAAATCTCATATAACAGCTCCTTGCACTCGTCGCATCCATCCTTTTCAGCGTTGCTGTCCTCGTCTACGGCTTCGGTGATGGCTTGGATACGCACAGCCACTCGGACCAGGTCAATGCCTTGAAATACTATGCCATTTTGCATGTTTTCGGTATAGCCAGTACCTGTATGGGCCGAGTGGCATTCATCCTCTACCTGCTGCCTATTCTCTCGACGACGAAGATCTCTAAGATCATCTTGCGAGGGCTTCTGGCACTGCAGGTGGTGAACTTCGTTGCAATTGTACTGCTCCTCACACAGTGTCGCGATATACGAGGCATATGGGATCCCATGTTTGAGGGAAGAACAGAGTGCATGGATAATTACGTTCAAATCTATTATGGATACTTCCAATGCTGTAAGTCATTCATCTCGAATTCCCGCCGGTTTCTTCAAGAAACTCAGAAGAAATCTAGCCTGCAACGGTTTAACCGATTTGATCCTCTCCGTCTACCCATCCTATATCTTTTGGAATCTTAAACTACGACGCCGGGTCAAGATCAGCTTAGTTATTCTAACAAGTCTGGGTTTGATGTAAGTAAGGATCTGATCTGTGGTGGAGGCATTCATCAATCCTTGAAACTTGAAAGTAAAAATACCTACTTCAAAGCTCACCACAAATAGCGCCATGGTGGCAACCATACTGAAAGCCACGTATCTCGAGCAGATCATTACCTGGGGCAGCACAGCGCGCGCCATCGACCTCACATGTTGGGCGATGATCGAAAGCTATCTCGTCATCATCACCGCGTCAATTCCCTGTCTGCGGTCGTTTATTATTTCCTCCGCGCGACAGCTCTTCGCCAGCGACCATTCCGGTACCTTCCACCTTACCTCGTCATCTAGAAAAAGAGGTACTGCTCGCCGACTGCATTCGAGACGACCAGGGCATAAAATGAAGTCCGAGGCTACCCAGCCAAACCCTGAGGCCTCGGGTAGTACGCAGAATTTCTTTGGCGAGACGCCAATCGAGGAGATCGAGTTGGGTAGCAAGACGTCGGAGAATATTCATGAGAGCTTGGATGCACCGGAAAGGCCTAGAGGCGGGATCGCTAAAAGCGTGAGCGTTTCTGTTACTTGGGATGGGGACCACGATAGAGTGGATATTAGGAGGTGATTTTGAAAGGCCTTTCCTATGTAAAATAAGTTGACGAAGCCTGGTATCTTTGAGATGAGATCTTATGATACAAATACCTTCAAAGAACTGAACTACCCTATTCAAACAAGAAGAATAAAAAAAAAAGCGGCTTTATATTCATAATTTGCGCCACTGAAAACAACATATACAAATTCGCTCACTATATACAACCACGACGATATCAAATCACTGTCCCATCGTAGACTTGAACAATTCCACCCGTTCCTTCATCTTCTGAATATTCTCATGACCCGCCACTGCAGCCGCCTCATAAGCTAATCGATAAGTATGAATCGCCTCAGTAAATAACGGCCGAACATCACGCCAACCAGTCACGGCCCTCAACTTCTCCGACCCCGTCCACTGCGGGAAATCAATCAAAGCCGGAGGCCACAGATTCTCAGCCGGCGCCACCGACTCAGAATCAACATACTTCACTCCAGCAGTGATACCAAACTCAGCAACCAGGTTCTTAGCAATCTCATCGACGGTCTCGTATCTTCGCGAGGAGATATTAAAGATCTCCCCCTCTACCTCCTCTCGACGCGGATGCTCCGCAATAGTAACATAGGCATCTCCACAATCGTCAACATGAAGCGCATGATAAATCGAGCTAGGAGGCACGGGTATCAACAACGGTTGCTTCGCATCAGCACTCTGGGCTGCAGCCTCGAAGAATCCTTGGTAGTAGCTCGCCGATCTACCGTATACGTTCGTCGGTCGGACGACAACAGGGGAGAAAACATCCCTGTGTTCGAGGAACTTCAACGAGTGATATGTTCTATCGGCGAGGAGACCCGGGGGGTTAAGAGGGCTTTCTTCAGTATGAGGTGCTAACGCAACGTCCCCATCATAATGGGGTCCTATGCCGTAGTCTTTGCACCCAGATGAAAATATGACAATCGGGCGGACACCGTTCGCAGAACTAGCTGTGGCCAAGGTTCGCAGGAGATGAACTGTGTTGGTGTAGTGCGGGATGTAGTCGTTGATGTTTTCTGTGGTGGAGATGATGGCGTCTAGTGTTTTGGGAAGTGCGTTGCGGATGGTTTCGTGTGAAGCGGTGTCGTCGATGCTGCCGATTACGGGGATGATTTCTTCCACGGCGAGGGATGTTGCTGTGGTCTTGGATCGGATGAGTCCGTATGTGATCCATCCGGCTCGGACGAAGGCGCGGGCTACGGCATTGCCGATGTAGCCGTTGGCGCCGGTGATGAGGACTTTGGGCATGGTTGATTGGGGGGTTCTTTTTGTGTTGTCTAATTGGGAATATGGTTATGGATGTGTTGTTGAAGGGATATTGTAATGTGAGTCTCTTATAGATGTGAAAATGGTGGTGTATTAGAAATCTAAGTGGGCGCTGGTTACAAATCAATGGTCAGCGATTGATTTATTGAATGCTGGGGTTGGGGCCAAAATGATTGTTATGACACACATTTATATACTCTGGTAACAGATGGATATGGGAATTACTAGCAAGAAACTCATTGAATCTATTTATAAATGCGCTGGTAATATGCGCTTATGAATGTTTTGTGCTACTTATTCACCTCTCACCTTATGTTGTTTACAATTGGCTCTAGCAGTAATATAGTACTCTTCCTCCAAGCCCTAACCGTCGCCTTATGTATCCTCCCATAACTACCTAAGTTAAAGCCCTAATGAGATATATATCTTTAGTTGAACCCATCCTTGATATAGAGCTATTAGTACATTTTACTATAATTATGCCATATAATACATTAGACAGGCTTCGAGCATGATAAAAACAAAGAGAAATGATCCGAACCATTTTACGCCTGTACCCCCCTTTTGGCTTTCCTTGTACTAAACCACTTCTTGATATCCCTTATGCCATGCAGATAAAGCCACGAGAACACATAAACAGCAGCAAAGTTAAACATGACAAATGCCCAAAAGATACCCTGTTATAAGTAGAAGCATCAGCTTAACTGGAAGCTAATAGAGAATGATCAAGTGGAAGTAAGGAAATTTTAGACTTACATAGTCTCTCCACTTGTGAGAGTAATATATATTGAAGCTTTCGGCAGCCTTGTAAATAACTCAGTATATGTGACATTTAATAAAAGAACTCGAGAGAAAGGGACCCAACTTACAAAAGTATCGCCATCCGAGTACGGACAGTAGGAGCAAAGTCCATTGCCCGCATCCTGTACGTAACCTCCAGCTTGCTGCGCAAAGGGACCGGCATAACTTTGGCAGGTCTCTCCTGGCGGCGGACTGAACTGTGACTCTTCTCTCGAGACGCATCGCAACGGGACATTATGGGTTACAACTCCGAGAAACCCTTCCAGGAGGTAGTGGAACGGGGTGAGCCAGTACATCCAGGACCGCCAGAAGTGGATCAAAGCCCTGTATGGGACAACAACTCCGCAGAAGGATACGACAAATATAAAGAAACAAGGTACGAGGAGGGAGGCGAAGAGTTCGTTAGGGGCAAGGGCAGCAATAAACTGGCCGAACCCCACATAGAACATCTCAAATAGCATTAGAAGCATCCAGACATAGCCCGAAGAGAATGAGTCTCGGGGGAACCAGACGCCCCAGTACCTGTTATCTGAATGAGTGCCCGTATACTTTTTGGCTAGGAATTGGAATGCCATGCGTACCAGCAATTGAAGTAAATAGAGCCGGCAACGATTGAATACGGCAGTTCGGGGAGAATAGCACTAGTTACAAATGCAACCCATGAGTATATCTTGGAATTTGCCTCGCGAGACTCGTATAGATTCCGGAAATGGAGGAACCGCGGCTGCAGTTGCTGGATTAGCGGTGGCGCTATGGTGAGCGTCATAAATATAGAAAACAGTCGAGATTGCATGTCAATGTAGCTGTTTCCTAAATGCCAGAAAGTGAAAGTATTGAATAAACCAGTGAATATGTGTAAAAGGAATTTTCCCTATTGAGATGGTTAGAAACTCGTAGAGGGAGAGTCTTGGAGTCTGCATACGAGATTGTATTCAGGAGATCTCCAATAAGCAACAAAGGCACGTTTTGTTACTGCTACGATCTGTACCCTGATGGGCATAGCATACTCGCGGCGGTCGTCATCATTGTCTCCCTCACTTTTATTCCGGCGTGATTGAATGATGCTCTCAATTTCCTCTGTCAATTGCTTGTTCTCAGAGCTTTTGGCCCAGACTTCGGACCAATCTTGGCCTTCATAATCAGGATTTCCGGCACCGATGACCTCAAGCATGTACTAAGAGGTGTGTCAGTTCGAACAATATTTATCTCGTGACAGATCATTGGGTACAGTACCTCTGCAGGATTCGCGTGGGGTGGACACTTCTTGCCTCCGTTCCGCTCGAAGTAACTAATGAGCTTGCTGGAATCTTGCCCCAGTTCGCCATTATAGACAACCTTGCCCCCACTTTGCAGCAGTAATAGGTCGTCAAAGTGCTCGAACAACACAGCAGAAGGCTGGTGAATTGTACAAAGAATTGCCTGACCAGCGTCTGCAAGCCGTCGAAGGAAGCGCACAATATTGAAGGCGGCCAGAGAATCAAGACCAGAGGTTGGCTCGTCCAGGAAGAGTAATAACTGCGGTTTACTTGCTAGTTCAACGGCTATTGTCAGTCTCTTACGCTGTTCTTCACTCAGTCCGATGCCCCCAGAGCCAACGGTAGCTCCTGCAATTGATCTCATTTCTAAGAGGTCGAGAATTTTCTCGCAGTAGTCATTTTTCTCGTGAATGGGTACCTCCTTAGGTTGGCGAAGAAGCGCTGAAAACCGCAAGGATTCTCTCACGGTAGCTGTAGGCTCATGAATATCCATCTGCTCGGCAAACCCAGTTGCTCTTTGGAAGCTTCTTGGAAGAGGCCTGAGAAAGCGAGTTAGAGAAACAAAGAAGCAGAGAAGCAATATATATAGTACTCACCTCCCATCAACTAAGAACTCACCAGTAACGACACCAAAGTTTATTCGTTGTGCCAATGTGTTGAGAAGTGTAGTCTTCCTATTCAATATCGAATTAGTTAGTAACTTCCTCGTACTGTCTTGATGAAAAACATATAACTGACCCTGCCCCAGAAGCGCCCACTAGAGCTGTAAGGCGACCAGGCTTGACATAGCCCTGCACATCTTGCAAAAGCTGTTTCTCTCCACCTTTGTATGGGATCGTATAGTTCACGTTTCTCCAAGTAAATATTGATGTACTCCGAGCAATGCCTGTGACCTCTCCAGAGCCCTCTGACGTAGATTCATTCATGTTACCGCCAACGCCCTTCTCCTTATTCCCAGTTTCCACGTCCTCTGGCAGTTCCTTATTCTCGAGGGCTCGTTTCACAGTTTCTGGCTCCTCGCCTCTTTTGAAAATAGTGGCGGCACTACCCCCTTTGTTGGGCTTTTGAAGCTCCATTCCAAGCATGGTCAATGCAATGAACAGAGCTAACCACGCGATTATGATACCGAAGTTGCGCCACAAATGAGACCTACTGTATGTAAATGCGCTCTTGATATAATTGGAGCCTCTAACAATTAGTTGGTTGACATCACTCCCTTGAATGGCGCAGGTTTGGTGTCCAGATGCTGCATTCGGGCCATCCGGTACAATGCTCGGTGGCTCACATTGAATGTCCAAATTATAGAATTCGTTTGACATAATCCCTTCAAAAGCATATTGTACGGGATTAATCCAGATAAGCCATTTCAGCCATGGGTGCATTTTCCAAGGTGGTATAAGATAGCCTAAAGCAAAGTAGTCAGATAGTTGCTTAGAAGCACAATCCTTGCTAGTCTTACCTGTATAGACGATGAGTGCTTGGATAGCAACACCAGTAACACGAGTGGCTTTTAATATCAGTAAGCATCCTTCTTTATCGAAATAAGGAGAAGAGCTTCTAGCATACCAATGTCAAGGGAACCGCATAATGCTCCTATAGTGCGAAAGAAGGAGTACATAGTCATCGTCAGGGTGAATATGAACAGAAAATTGATGAAGAACTGAGAAGCGGTTCTTGAAAGGTTGGCCATGCTAGACAAACGGTTAGTAACCTAGCCATGTGAGTATCCTCGAGTTCAATTGGACGCACAAATATACAATTAGCTCAAACAGCGTAACTTGGACGAATATTATGGGAATATCAACGATCACCTGTGCCAGAGCGAAAGCAGAAGGTCGATAGAAAGAGCTGAGTCTGTCAGCATTTTGCTAGAATCGAAAGACATCCTTTATACATACAAGCTTTTGTGTTTTAGAATAACTGGCCGGGTATCGAAAAACGACGTTAGTTCGGCCATCGCAAGTAGAGCATTAAAGAGTAAAACATAAAACATCACACCCCCTCTTGTGAAAACGCCGGCACTAGATTGAAAATCAGCTGCATATATACATCAAGAAAAAACATATATCATACTAACTGACCTTGTCTGGGGCAAATCATAAAACAATGAGCCAGTTATGAGGGCTTGTCCGGTCAAGATCACCCATTTACCTATTAGGGTCGTCTTGTCGCCATACATGATGAGAAATTGACGATGCGTTAGAATAGCAACCTGGTGGTAGAATGAAACAGTGTAGTTTTTCTTCTCCGATTCTTTCCTGGCAGCTTCGCGTTCCTCTTTATGAGACTCTAGTTCTTCCTCGAAACCTTCATTGTCAGCTAGGGTGGCCTTATAGACATCACTCTTGCGGTAGATATTCCGAAACTCTTCTGCAGTTCGAGGGATACGGTCTTCCCATCCCTGTCGGACACGACGAGCTTGTGGGTCAGTGACCGATAACAAAAAGTCTGGGGTCGTCCACCTAGGGGCGCACTCGAACCCCAGGCTCTCAAAATAGTGGCGGGCAGACTCAGCACGGCCGTAGTAGACACATTTGCCTTCTTCTATGAAGATCACCTTATCGAAGAGTTTGTATAGATTCTCAGAAGCTTGATAAAGAGCGACAAGTGTGGAGACGTGTGCCATATCAGTCAGGCTTCTCAAGCTTTGCACATACTCCAGTGCTGTACTTGCGTCGAGTCCCTTCGTTGAATTATCCCAAGACTGGGTGGATGCGCGAGTCACCATTGCCTCTGCAATAGAGACACGCTTTTTTTCACCTCCAGAAATTCCACGGATTAGCTCGTTGCCCACCTTTGTGTCAAGGGCATGCTCAATCCAGAATAGCTTAGCAATGGCAGATAAGAATGTCTCCTGATACTCCTTTCGAGACTCCCCGGGGAGGCGTGATTTCTTATCTGGAGTCCGAGTCTTCAAAGCGAATAACAAAGTATCCCGTACCGTCAAGGTTGGGTAGTGAAGATCATCCTCGGGATTGTAGAGCACTGAAGAATCTGAGTGGTCTATTCATCCAGAGGTCCAAACTGGGGAGAGTTACGACATACCCTCAGAGCGGTACTTATCCGCCATTGTTTGAGCATCAGTACCCCCATAGCGTACGTCACCTTTGACGCTTTTGTACCCTGATCTTTGGTTCCCAATCGCTTTTAAAAAAGTTGAGCACCCAGAGCCGGGCCGGCCAAGAACCAGCAGCATTTCCCCAGGCCGCACGCAACCCTGTCAAAGAATACGTGAGATCTCTATTGCCCGGCCACCATACTAGTGACTTACTGTAAAATCATCTATGATAGTCCGCAATGGAGGTTTATTCCTGCCACGAGTTAAAAGGCTCTTGATCTTTCGAGGCAAAGCAAGGAGTATCTCGGAGTTCGTTGGTTGAATGGCAGCACCCTAAAAAGTATCAGAGCTTTGCGTTTGCTTCAGCGTAATAGTGAGAAACTGCTTACAAGTCCAACACCCTTCACAGTTAGGTGCTTCCATACGACCCCAAGATGCCTCGTCTTTTCTTCGTCGGAGTTACTCTTCCTCTCATGACCAAACATTCGCGAAACAAGTTTCATGATCTGAGTCATATCCTCGGTCTCCCCTTCTGTATTTTCCCCAGATCCGCCGGTACGTCGCCGAGAGAGTACACGCACGATCTCGTCTTCAGTGAGGCGTCTGTTCAACGATCCTGGCTGACTTGACTTTTCGGTCTCATTGAACTCTGCATTCTGGGCTGGGCTTGAATCTGAAGGTATACTAGAGCTGGAGGCTGACACAGATGACAGATCAGAGGCAGTATCTCGAGATAGGTGTCCTTCTTGCTGCACGTCCATCGTGACGTTGCTATTGATGGTATTCTTATGTCAAAATTGATCTTCTATCATTGAGGTTAATTCTGACACTCGTAACAATATGTGCCGAGTCCAAAGAATAATGGGATAATCAATGGTAAAAATTAGTTTTGGGTGATATTAATAACCGTGCATGGAACCATAGAAAGTGACGAGAAATGGTATGTATATGATAAAAGGGAACTGAGATTGTACCAAATTGAAACTAGAGAAATTGAGACTAAATACGTCAGAATATTGTATGGAGACAAGTATTACGCATGGTGTATATCAGATGTGGAATGAAAACCTGCCTCAATGTCTTCATTTTTTTTCCTTTTTCTTTTTTCCATTTTTTATAGTGGCTCTTTGATCGCTTGGTGTAGTATATGACAGGTGCGGATGTAATGCTAATATCCATCCGATGTGACAGCAGAGCAATCGGACGTTCCGAAGCCCGAGTTTCCGAGCCAGGGTTGAACGTGGGAAGGAAGTTCAATTGCGAGGAGGTTCAAGGACCTTAGTCCATGGTTGTTGATCACTATGAAGTCATTGTCCCTCGATGGCGAATGTTCCTTGGGTTCCCGACTCGGTCTTAAATCGGTGGTTTTCCTTTATTCCCGATTCCGGTCGTAAAGCGATCGAGAACATTTCTAATTCAATCATGACCTGCTATGCGCATTTGAATGACATTTTTATAGATCAATGCATACGAAGGTCCCTTTCACCTGACCATTTTGAGCATGATTCCGAATGTCCGACTTCGAAGAACAATCGCCGGAAATGCAGCTCCGCCTGGGTAGGCAACTGTCGTCGTTCTCGCCGTTATCGAGAGACTGTTGATCACTGCATCACTCCATCCGTATGTCATATTGGGAGGAATCCCAAACCTCATTCGGGATAATGGCAGATATCTATCTATCTATGGTCAAAGCATGTGAAATGTATTATTGAGAAAGCCACATCGGGTGAAGATTACCGAGTAAGGACTCACCTTTCATGGCTACAAGCATCAAATCCCACGGTATGACTCCTGATGCTACCAGGTAATTAACCCCACCAACCAAAGGCTCGTTGAATAACCTCGTACGCCAGTAGTGGCTTGTAGTGACGAGTTTATGGACAGTTCTCGGGGATGCTAGCCTGAGGTGTACTACATAGTCAGGTAGACTCAGAGCCTAGACGTACGGCATTTATAATACTTGTGACGCAAGTGAGAAGAACTTCCGTAATGGCAAAACCCGCCAGAAGCCTCCAGAAGTGGAATATCTAGGGTATGCAATGACGATGCTCGCGGGCTCACAGACTAGCTGGATGGTCATAACCTCGATAGCTGCTCCATCGTGTTATAGCTCTCCTTCTTGGTACATTGTTTCCTCATCTATCAAGGGGACTCACAATGATACCCTAAATATGACCATTTTAGGTTTAATCTATCTTTGTTAGGAAAACTCACAATCAGGTTCCAAAGGTCTTAGTAGCTGGACCTAAACTAACGCACGAATATTTTAAGGTTGAAGGAAAGATGACTCTAATGATTTACCTATAGTTACAAGTTGAATGATGAGGTAGAAGCGGAGAATACCATACAGCCTGAATTTTCGCTTGGTCGGTCACTTCCCTAAAGTGAAGTGGGCGTGGAAGCTGCCAATTGCCATTGAATCAAGTATATATCTCCTTATCTCAAGCAGCGGGCTTCACAGTGTCTGACTGTCCTTCTAGTAATGAGATGTCTTGCCTTGCCAGTGATTCATCTCTTAGATATAAATTCTATTCATGTTTGCCCGTGCTGTTGCAAAGGGAAGGAGTAGATGTATGGGTTATCAACGTCCGATTTAGAATCTTAAGAAAATCTGGCTTAACTGTGCAGGATAGTATGGTTGTATTGGAACTGTATTGGATGAGTTCACATATACGGACAGTCACATTATAGTTACACATTAACTTGATGAAGTTGAGAAGATGTACAAGAAAATATTCCAAAAATCCAATCTGACCAGGTTGCAGTCATACTATTTTATTTACTGGACTATATGTCGAGCCCCATAACACTACACCCACAATGTTCTGGCAAAGATTTCGTAGATACCTCGATTGGGAAGGCAGCAACAAACTTTTGGAATGTGCTGGTAACAATGAAAGCATTCATTTTTGTGACTGCAAATGGCGCGCGTGAGAAAAGTATACAGAGGAGGGTGTGTGAATATGCTATGGCTATCCGAAATACCCAACTTACGGGCCGGAGGATGATGGTGGAGGGGTAGGACCCGAAGGCCCAGTGAGATTAGAAACTGTGAGGGATTGCTGAGGATTCCAGGGCTTGGAGACTCCAGTAGGCTGACTTGTTGACGGGCTATTGGATCCTTCAGGAGCGGCCCCTGAATGATGACCATTCATCAGACGAGGGCGCTTGGCCTGAGGCCCTGCATTAGGACTTCGGGTGACATCATGTGGTAAGTATGGAGAAGTCTGTTGGCTAGAAGATGCAGATGGCCCCCCTGTCTGGATGGGTGACGGGGCAGGTGGGCTCATAGCCGCTGGGGGTTGCAGTATTCTTGACCTGGACATGCTTCCCGAGTCATCACCAACACGTTTGCTATCCGCAGTCCCATAATCATCCAAGACGGGACTAAAGTGTCCCACACCGACACGGCCCATGCTCTTGTCGTGCATCACCACGCGCTTCCACTTCGCCACCACACTATCATAGTCCCAGCGGGAGGAATCGGGGCTGATCTTGCTTTCTTTGGTGTCCAAATCTCGGGCTACATCCCGAGGTAGAGGTAACGTGTCTGGAGGAAAGAGAGCGAACTCCCTTGGCCATTGACATGAGCCTAATCTTTCTACTTGGGCACGAAGCTGATTTGCTTCTTGTTGCACCCGCGCTAGCTGGTCATCCAATGACTTGCGCTTTTCCATCTCCCGGGCGAAAGCTCGAGTAATCTCGAGCTGCCATGCATCTCGCCTAGTGTCAGAAGGGAGCGAAGCCCAATGCTTGAATGCCAACTCTAGATGCCGCAGACTGATATCTTCATGCTGTTGCGCACTTCGGGCGATCATGTTCGCATCCAGACCAATACTTGGCCTCCCCGACTGGGAATTGCTCATAGAGTCGGTAGAAAGTTGATCTGACTGCCACTGATCGATCTTAGCACGGAGAGCCTGGCGAATGATCTCAACATGTTCTACACCAGGAGGCTGGAGCGGGAAGGAAGAAGGCGACGGGAACGGGCTAGTCGCGAATAAGCTTGGAGGCGGGGGTAGCAGTTGCAGACAGAGTGAAGGAAACGTTTGCGACTGAATATCAAAGTCGAATGGCGACAATCGAGGGCGCATTCTTGAACTGTTATCCGTATAATTGGTCAGTGTATCGATACGCAGCAGGGCAACTGGAAAAGCCCATGGCAAGCAGCGCCATGGAGTGGAAAACGTACGTCGCAGCCTTGATATTGTCCAGTACTTCCCGCAAAGCCAGCTCCAGCGCCCTCATCGTATCAGGATTGTTAGCGCTAGCGCCTCTGCTCGCATAATCAGGGAGGGGCTTAGGGGCCCGAGTTTGCGAAGCGGAATACCGTGATGTGTTGGAAACATCGTGCGACTGACTAGGGTTTGGAATATCGTTGATGACACCAGTCGCATGCCAGGTGGGGGTGTTAAACATCATTCTAACACCATCGCGTGGCTTCGCACCTGAGTCACTCGCATACGGATCCAACTGGCCTTTCCCTATGATTCGTTCAGGAGTGTCCCGTTTGCCAGACGAGGTGCGAGCCTGTCGTCGAGTGATGCCGCTTCGAATGCGCCGGATTTCCTCGACATCATGAACACCGTCTGGTTTCTTCTTGAAGAGGAACTGGTCGAGGTGACGGCCTAGGGAAGACGAGGTAAATGCCTGGTGACAATATTGACACTTCCGATCTTTGGCAGCTGCATTCTTTGCAGCACCCGACTGCGCGTTATCATCGGCCCCAGCAGAGCCTTCCGGGGTATCTGTCGGACGATTAGACACGCTTTCTTCCATGTTTCACAAAGGACGCTATGGTTGTGGCTGCAGGTAAATGTAGAATCGCGGTGGGACGGAGCGAGACGCGTTCACGAAACAAAGGATAAATCGCCTTCCAACAGTATTACCCAGTTCAAGGCATGACAAGAATCAAGCATGCGTAGACGCTGGCGGTGAAGAGGCTATGGGGTAGATTATTAGAATGCAAGGGACTCGGCAAGCCACAGTATCATCGAATGGTAGAGTGGGCAGAGAGGAGAAGAGGAGACCGACCAAAGGGAGAGGAGAGAAATAACGAGGGAACGTGACGATCAACCGACCGCCAAGCTTTTGTTGTGGGGGACATTTATTTCAGCCTCTTATTTCTCCGATTAAGACAAGCTCCTTCCTGACCACCACTTGGAACGATAGAGAGCATGGTTTGAGCGTTTTCTTTCAATGAAAACAGATTTATGAGATATACAATACTCTCCCCCCTTGCATCGGGGTGTAACAACTAAGCATACAAAGCAATGCGGAAGCTAGTCGTGACTAGTCACCCCGATGGCACTAACCACAATACTCGACCAACAGAGGCAGATAGAAAACTCAAGGTATAATAGATTTATTAATTCAAGCTTAATCAGGCTAAGATGATGGATAGTATTGAAAATACTACTGGTATAGACATTGAAAATCCCACCAGCATCATTAATACCTCTTTTACTATCACAATGTGTCCTCACGCATTCATCGAGCACTAGACCAACAGATTCGCCAAAGCTAACTATGCCACTTAGCTCTGGCTGATTTCGGACTGCAAGCTCACCTCTTGGCTGATGTAGTCTGCTAAAGTCAACATCTTTTCCTCCTCCAGTCGTCGCCCAACTAATTGAAGACCGGCAGGAGCACCATCGTAAGCTTCAGGATCATCTATCTAGATGTTAGTAAGTCCGGAACATGTCAACTTATGCGAAAAGAGCTCACATTGTTCATGGACAATCTTGTCCACCTCACTCAGGAAACCGTTCTTCGGTTGAGGCAAATCAACCTTTTTGTCTGCATGGGTTACCGGGAACACGACGCTCGTGTAGTCCAAGAGGTTAACGAACGCGGTATACCCAACATGGGCATACTTATGGGGCATCACTGCAGCGTGTGGCGCACATGGGCAGATCACACCATCGACAGGGCGCCCGGTACCGGTTATCTCAGCCGTACTGTTCCAGTAATCCATGTAAAGTTTTTGATATTGCCGCTTTTCCACATTGAGTGCAGCGATTTCTAAGGCACTCATGTGTGGGATTCCCTCCCCCACAATGCATTGGAGAGATTTTGGCTCTCCTGACAATCCAAGATGGTGTGCTATGTCTGCTCCGCCATCAGCCACGCAAACCCTACCCTACTATGGTCAATATCACTGACGTTAGGTAAACGAGAAAGATTAGGAACTTACAAATATGTCTATGCCAACTTGGTGGGCAGGGGGTTTCCACTCGATCACCTATGATATATGTCAATATATACATCTTAGTATACACCTTGACCTTCCAGGCTTTGCGTTACCTTATGGCCCAATCGCTTCAAAGTTTGTTCGACAATCTCGACAGCCCTCGCTATTGGTGGATGAGGTTGGACCATGCCATCGTGGCGCATAATAGCAAATGCAAGAGAAGGAGAACTGTCAGCTGATTTCCTTATCAGCGCTCGAGTCCTTTCTTCAATATCCGTCCTCCAGGGCAGCTCCAGCACAAGTGGATCATGGTACCATGGCTGCTGACTGAGAACAGACTTGAACAGTAGTGTCAGAGAACGTGCGGTAGTTGCAAGTGGTCCAACGACCGATAAAATCAAATTTTGGCCGTCAATTGAGTTTGCAGCGCCCTCATAGGGCATTCTCCCGGACGATGGACGAATCCCAAAAAGTCCGTTGAACACAGCTGGGATACGTATGCTCCCGCCGATATCAGTTCCAAAGCCACCGGGTGATCCTTTCAAAGCGATTAGTGCCCCTTCACCACCCGAGCTACCTCCACTGGATAGCAGTCGGTTGTTAGGATTCCACGTATACGAGATGATGTTGTTGACAGTTTCACCTGCCATCAAGGTTGCAGGCACGCTCGTCTTGCAGTACAATACTCCTCCTAGATTCCGAAGTTCCTTGACGAGTTCACTCTCGAATGTGGCCCGCCTCGAATCACCCTTCTTGCCTTGAAACGTTCCGATCCATCCTACGTAGCCCATCGTCGTCTCGACACCTTTAACATGGAATTGATCCTTCAAACTGATAGGCAGACCATGCAGCGGTCCGATCGGCTTCTTATGCTCTGCATAGTATGCATCGAGTCTCTTTGCGTCCTCGATTGCGGCGTCGAAAAATACTTCATGCAGACAGTTCACCTACAGTAACCATTGAGTACCGTATCAGACACAGTGAGAACCGACATGAAAACATACAAGCTGGTGTGCAAGTGCAGCCCTGTGACAAAACGCCTCGGTCACTTCAACAGCAGTCCAACTGCCAGAAGTTGTCTGCTCCGTAATTCCCACTGCATCAGTCTCGGTTATCTCTATTTCTCGTGGAGTCAAGAACTGTTGAATATAGGCGCCAGTCACATCACGAAGTTCATCCGCCGGGGGGGTAGGATTTTGAAATCTCCACTTGGCAGGAATCGCCCCCAAGATGGATCGGCGTTTGAGGTCCCCCAACTGTTCATAAGTAGTGTTAGTCATAGCTACTAAGCTAGTGGGGGGATCAATTATGGGGAAGGTAGGAGGAATACGATGTTGCGCTATGAAACACATCAAAGGAAGCTTTATAAAGATCAGGGGGTACTTGCCTATTTATAATATTCGTCTTATCGCCCTAATGCACTGTTACGACGGCAAATGGGGTACCTACCAGGTCCTAGGAGGGGACGGTGCAACGCCGTTGCTGTTCTGAGCTAATTTGATGGTGGGGTTGCGGGGCGGATTCGTATCATTTATTGATTCAGCGCCTCTGTTGAGATGCAGTGATACAGGTTGAGTTATCTGTTACGCAAAGCACATTACACGCTTTAAGAGCAATTGATGTTCTGCTTCTCTGCCGGTGTCGGGCTTGGCTAAAACTGCGGTTATTGATTCCGTTTTGTTATGGACCTCGGTTAATCGATCTCAAGCCATATTTGTCCTGGACTATCATGGATGCGCTTGTATACAAATATCTAAATAAACGTAAAGTCTGAATGCAACAACACCAACGATGACCAAATTCCGTTGTATATGTAAGCGAACCCACCTGAACGTACCAAACTAATTCATTGAACAGCTACCAAAGATGCCCATCATCCAACAACCGGAACATCTGATGATTCTCATAGAACCAGTCTCCCAGCTCCATCCCCATTAAGTCCATTCCCATATTATTATTCAAATCGGTCTGTGCGGGCGCGGGAGCGTACATACTGGGCCCGTACCCAGACATCTGTGTCAATAGCTGCTGGCCACTATTGACCCATGGGTTAGACAAACCAGCCTCGGACACACTGTGTAAATCTCCAGGGACAGAAGAAGCCTGGCCCGGGTTCATTGATGATGACTGAAGAAGCATGCTAGACCCTATGGAATTAGAATTTGCAAAATGAGCACCCATGCTGTTGCTGCTTGGTACATTCATTCGTACTCCGGGAGTGCTGGCCTTCACCTCTACATATTTTCTCGCCACGTCATATAGGGCTCGAAAAAGGCGGACCTGATTTCTGGAAATTTTGTAGGTTACTGTGGAACGAACTGACTGGAGTACCTCGACAAAAGCGCCGAGACACTTAAGGTCGTCGGGCTCAGATGTCTCGACGATGTAGCAGAAAAGGACTATAAAAGGAAAGAAAGGAAATTGGAGTAGGGTCCTGGTCAAATAAGTTAGCAGGTTAGTTCATTTGCCATTGGTGGGTAACAAATGACTAACCAGTTGATGTACATTTCCAGAAAACTCTCATCCCAAGGGCAACTGAGGATGAGGGCAACACATTTTTCATGCTCTTTGAGGGCTTCTCGTGCTGTAGCTATGCATTCATCACAGAAGGCAGTTCCCGATGGTTTCTCAGGAGGGATTGCTCGATAGATGAGTGATAGTAGAGATAGATTCCAGACCCTATCTGAACGCTGAATAATCTCGTGGAGATCGTCTCCAATAGCACGGCGTCTTTCGTTGTTGTATCTTCTCTAAAATAATCTATTAGTCTGGACAACTAGATCATGATCAAGCCTCCGAATTCAGCATAGGTATAACTCTCGCATATTATAATGGTGGGGTAGAAACGCCAGAGCTTACCTCTAATTCATCTTCAGAATCCATAAGTTTCTTTACCCCGGTCGCCAGAGCCCTTGCACGGGAGATTCTGATATCTACCGGCTGCATCAGAGCACTAGGGCTATAAATATCGTCGTATGTCTTTCCCTGGATTTTAGCTAAATCAATCCACTTAGGCACTAATAGAGACTCCGTACTCTGCTCGAGAGTTATTCGCGGTATCGTGATGTCTTCGTCTCGAAAAGTTGACGATCGACCCAGTCGTAAGCACAACGATTTTTCCGTGAGAAACACGGCCCAAAATAGGCGAATCTTTTGGTTCTTAGTTCCTGGGTCGTCAGTGCTTAGAGCGTGGGCGCTATGAAGACCGAGCGTTTGAGATAGATGAGATGCTGTAGTAATGAAACTCCATGCTACTGATGGCTTGGCCATTTGGAGACAGTATGTTGCCTTGGGGCAAATTTAGCACATGCTACCTATTGGACTAAGGGAAATGAGGTTAAGGGTATGGGCGAAAAGTTCCATAAGCTTACAGCAACATTCATAGCAAAGACAACATCAATGGTGACTGGCATATGGAATGGGAGATTTGACAAAACTGTCTCGAGATTATCCCGGCACCGCATAGCCTGGTCCATATAGTTCCCCTTAACTATTTGATCTACAAACAGGCCAGCACACTCGCAGTAAAGCCAGTAAAGGCCTCCGTTGACTATGATCATATCAGCATCTGTGGCTGGGCCAGGGGAGTAGACTCTTAAGAAGTAATCGTTGAACTGCGAAATAGATATCAGTTCGATAAGCCAGAAACACTGAACTCTAGGTTGCTCTATCAGTGTTATAGTGAGTTAGTAAAAGGTGCAAGCATTATCAAGATAAAGGGTTGCACCTTTGGCCATCCGTAAACACGCAAGAGTCATTTCAACTGGGGGCATAGTAAGATGCCTTATACTGGAACCATGAGGTATTGGTTTGGCATGTGGGTAAAGATTTTCAAGAGTGTCCCTTTGCTGTTTCTGGTCATCGATTATACCATGTAGCGTATCAAGAATCGAGGTCATCTCCTGCGCGATCTGGGGAGAGTTTGTGCTGCTAACCGCGTCTTGGAGATATCTCGTGGCAAAAATGGCGTGGGCAGACAGCGATGATCCGCCTTCATATTCGGGTTTGGAGGCTACAGTAGAGCTCCTCAAGTCATTTTTGACTTGAGGATGAGACACTGGTATTGATGGACAAGTATCCGGCCCCCGTTCACCCACAGGAGATGGTTCGATAATCGCAGGCTGATGGGAGCCCGACGGGATGAATGAAGCATTGCTCAACGTGGCCACCTTTTGGCTGAGCTCATCCAGCTTCTGTACCATGTATTCCATTCTTTGCTCACTTATTGATACTGAGTGAGTGCTCACAAGAGATCCGGTTATATGGCGGAATACTCACTACTGGGCAGAAATCAATACCCTTTGCCTTTTTTCTCTAGGTTTATAGCGCCCTGAGTACATACATCGAGTCTTTGCACGAATGCATTGTGAACAGGGTGTCGAGCGATCACAGCGAATCTAGAAAATGAAAGGAAGTACCTGAGTGGCATAATTCTACAGCTTTAGGGAATATGGCGCCGCCTACCTTGCGCTGTCGACAGCGGTTACACTAGCATGGGTCAACAAGCGATCTGATGAAGGTTGTACGGAAAAACAATGCAGGAGTAAATTCGTACAGCTCGTGCCTGGCACTCTAGTGGTCTTTCATGCCCTTCTTTCTGGGGTTTATCCAGAGTGGAGGTGTCATCAGTCACGGAGTCATCGGTATCCCCCTCCATCTGTGCGGAAGTAATAGAACTCGGAGTAAAAGGCTTTCGGAGAAGCTATTGGTAGTATAATGGGGAGTGTAGAAATAGTCCTAAGTGGAGTGCACATAGGAGTTGGCCTGCTAGGGGGAGATTGAGAACGGACTATTCAATGAAGCCTGGACTCGAAGTAAACAGGACTTGCCTCGGATTGGTTAGTAGGTCGGGTTTGCGGGATGCCAAGGACCCGTACTCCGATGTCCGGAAACGGGCTCTTGGCATCCCGCAAGTCCGTCTGGCAGCCTTATCATGGTGGTTCTTAGAGAGCACGGAGTATATCCATGCTGTAGATCTTACCATTGTGTCCACCTGCCAGTTCAGCCACTGTAGCACCTTCTTGGTTGGATATGACGATTGGTGAGGACATCCCTTATTCCTCCATTGTGGCCATTTCTTTTGGCTTTTTGATCCGGCAAATTAGTTTACTATGCTTAGTGTCACAGTCAAAGATGACTGCGTCGATCTGATTCATACTATAGGAGGAGTATATATAAGCCTATACAGCCCCTGGAGCTCTCAGTAGTGATGTGTACATAAGAAATTCAAATGAACTTCTTTTCATTCACTATGGTTATTCGCTCATAAAAAACGTTTCTTTGTCTATTCATATAACTACACAGGTATCTGTTCAGCCATGACCGATTCATCAGCAATGGAGAAACCAGCTGCTGGTTCCTCGAAATCTTCAGTCAAAGATAACCAAATTCAACATGAAGACACACAAGGTCACTCCACATTCAAAAGTTTTCTGGTATGACATGAGCACTTCCTTATCACTGGTCACACATGCCTTGACTGAACATGATTTATAGAGGGTCTTCGCATTCGGCCGACCCATTGATTATGTCCTCGCATCGATCAGCTTACTTGCTTCGATTGGCTCAGGCGTCGCCTTGGCCATGGTAAACCTCGTGTTGGGCAAGTTCATGACACTTCTGAGTGGTTCCACCTTAGGCACTAGTTTGCCAGGCAACTTTATGTCTCAAGTCAGCAAATTCTCGTGAGACTCAAATGTCCCTGATACGGAAGAGACTTCTCCTACTCCGAACTAACGGATACTGTTTATTTGCAGATTATACTTTGTCTATATCGGGATAGCCAGGCTTGGTTGTACCTACATCTACTCCTCGCTCCTTACATACGTAGCCTACCACTTGACTAGAAACATTCGATACAAATACCTTCGTGCGGCCTTCAGCCAAGAAACCGGATACTTTGATCAAGGGACTGGCGGCTCAATATCAACGCAAGCCACATCCAATGGCAAGTTGATTCATTCTGGAATTTCAGAGAAACTAGGAATCTTTATCCAGGCAATTGCAACGTTCATAGCAGCTTTTATCATTGCCTTTGTCAGCCATTGGAAGTTGACATTGATCATCTGCTGCATCGTTCCGGCTCTGATTGTCATTGGTGGGGGTTTTTCGTTCGCTGATGCTGGATATGAGACGAATATTCTTAAAGTCAACGCGCAGGCAGCTTCATATGCTGAAAATATTCTCAGTGGTGTTCGAGCTGTCCACGCGTTCAGTCTTCGACCCAGGATCACGCACAAGTATGGACAATACTTACAAAGGGTGTTTACAATTGGAATGAAGAAAAATCCAATTTATGGCGTCATGTTTGGCTCTGAATACTTTATCATATATGCTGGAATGGGTTTAGCATTTTGGCAAGGCATTCATATGCTCGCCCGAGGGAATATCCCGGATATTGGTACTGTCTTCACGTATGTCAGACTTCATCTCTCTTTTCCCAACTTTGATCAAACAGACAATTTATGATCTTCTGCTAACGCACGAAAGTGTCCTTTTTTCCGTGGTTATTGCGGCGAGTACCATTACGTCCATTGCGCCTCATACAGTAACGTTCACACGTGCGGCTAGTGCGGCTGCAGAACTATTTGCTTTGATTGACAGGGAATCTGAGATCAACCCCCTCGATGAATCCGGGGATAAGCCGCAAGATACATATGGTGTGATAAACATCGATAACATTACGTTCAATTATCCCAACCGTCCAAACGTTTGTGTATTAGAGGACTTTTCCCTTCATGTCCCGGCAGGGAAGGTCACCGCGCTTGTCGTAAGTTTCCCATATCCTCTTGGTATACGAACCGGGAGTGTGCTAATCCTTACGGCAAAACAAGGGTGCTAGTGGGTCTGGGAAAAGTACAATCATAGGGCTTCTAGAGCGATGGTATAAGCCGTTGGCCGGTTCAATAAAGTTAGATGGGAGAGATATCGCGCAGTTGAATCTAAGATGGCTTCGCACAAACGTCCGGCTTGTGCAACAGGTGACTAGCAGCCTTGTGCGTCAAGCAAATTTAAGGCACGGCTAATGTTATTAAGGAACCGGTCCTCTTCAACGGAAGCGTTTTCGATAACATTACGAATGGCCTTATTGGTACACCATGGGAGACAGCTTCATATGAAGAGCAGCGCAAACGTGTGGAAGACGCAGCTAAGCTTGCATTTGCACACGACTTCATCATGAACCTTCCGAATGGCTACGATTCGCCAATTGGTGAAAGAGGAGGCCTTTTATCAGGTGGGCAGAAACAAAGAATTGCCATTGCACGCAGCATTATCTCTGAGCCAAAGATCCTCCTCTTGGATGAAGCTACTAGCGCTCTGGATCCACACGCCGAAGGTATAGTACAGCAGGCTTTAGATCGTGCTTCCAAGAACCGAACGACTATAGTAATTGCGCACAAATTGGCAACTATCCGCAACGCGGACAATATCGTCGTGATGTCAAAAGGGAGAATTGTCGAGCAAGGTCAGCATAGCGAGCTAGTTGCCAGGGGTGGTGCATATGCGAGTCTAGTCAAGGCACAAGATCTATCAGCAACACGATCGGCAGATGATGAGGAGCAAAGCACTGAAGACGAGACACCTGATAAAGAGGCTGAGCCGGTCCAGTCACTTGCTCGGTATCAAACGGCCGAGGCACGGCAGCTGACAATGCTCCAGCATCGCGAAGACTTTGGACTATACAAAAGGAGGGGCATTCTTCGCAGCATAGCCAAGCTGGTCATCAGCACACCCAATCTGAGGTTCTGGTACTTCCTCACTATAATATGTTGCGTGGCAGGAGGTAAACATATGCCCATTCCACTATTGTCCGTTAAACTAACTCTCTTTTAGCTGCTATTTTTCCGGGGCAGGCGCTACTCCTAGCTAATGTTATGGACATATTCTCTGCCCCAAATATGGTTGACCGCGGAAACTTCATTGCTCTGATGTATTTTGTAATGTCGCTTGGTTGTTTCGTTGTTTACTTTGGTCTAGGCTGGGCCACAAATATTATTGCGCAGGTACGGCATCATCTGCTTTGAACATGGCATTCTCACTAACTCGAGCCACCAGACTTTCAACAAGATTTTCCGCCACGACCTTTTGAACTCCATGCTCAAACAAGACCTCCGGTTCTTTGACCGACCTGAAAACACAGTCGGTGCATTAACAAGTCGGCTTGATTCGCACCCACAAGCGATTTTAGAGCTCATGGGTTTTAACATTTCCCTCATCGTTCTCGCGGCAATCAACGTACTTGCGTCTAGCGTACTCTCTCTAGCTATCGCCTGGAAGCTAGGTGTAATGGGTGTCTTTGTTGGGCTACCGCCTATGCTAGTAGCAGGCTATGCGCGTATCCGCCTCGAAACCAAGATGGATACAGATATGGGAAAGAGGTTCTCTCAGAGCGCTTCGATGGCGTCGGAGGCGGTACTTTCTATCCGAACAGTCTCCTCGCTCGCTATGGAGAAGAATATCTTGGAGAGATACACCAACGAACTAGATCAGGCAATTCAAACATCGATTCGTCCTCTGTTCAGTATGATGGTGTGGTTCTCCCTGACTCAGTCTATTGAGTATTTTATACTTGCATTAGGGTTTTGGTTTGCTTCCTTTTTATATACCTTCTTTTGTTGTCTCCAGTTCTTGAGCTTAAACTGACCATGATTCTAGGTGGGGTTCCAAGTTGATCCATGACGGAGACATCACGTTTTACCAGTTCATCGTCTCTTTCATGGGTGTATACTTCTCTGGTCAGGCTGCTGGCCAACTATTCAGCTTCTCGAGCAGTTTCACGAAAGCTAATGAAGCGGCAAACTACTATTTCTGGTTAACAGAACTCTCTCCTATGATCCAAGAAACAAAAGAAAACCTCAGCAATGGACCCCCAAACAAATGTCAGGCGATTGATTTCCAAGATATCCAGTTTTCCTATCCTCTAGCACCAGATACCCGCGTTCTGAAGGGTGTGTCTTTTAACGTACGTATGCCGTCTGTCACTTCTATTCTTTCACCACCACACAGAACTAACATTGTTATGACATTTCAGATCCGAAAAGGCCAATTTGTAGCTCTTGTGGGTGCCTCCGGCTGTGGTAAAAGCACGATGATCTCGCTGCTAGAACGCTTCTACGACCCAACGCAAGGCACCATTAGAGTCGACACTTCCCCGCTGAACAGCATGAATCCAATTTTATACAGACAACAGGTCGCCCTTGTGCAACAGGAACCGACGTTATTTCCGGGGACCATCTTGGAGAACATCTCGTATGGATTGGACATTGCACCATCTGAATCAGCTAGTGCTCCAAGCTCCGAGGTCGAAAATGCTTGCCGGGCAGCAAATGTATGGGACTTTATCAGCTCCTTGCCGGACGGACTCCAGACACCCTGCGGAACGAGCGGTAGCCAGCTTTCCGGTGGACAACGACAGAGGGTTGCGATTGCAAGAGCCTTGATCAGGAATCCTCGGGTGATACTCTTAGATGAGGCGACAAGTGCGCTTGATACAGAATCAGAAAGAGTTGTGCAGGGGGCATTGATGCAAGCTGCGACAAGTGGGGAGAGGATTACAGTCGCTGTCGCTCATCGGCTTTCGACGGTTCGTGAGGCAGACTGTATCTTCGTGTTTTTGGGTGGCAGGATTGTTGAGTGTGGTAGACATGGTGAGTTGGTTGAGAAAGGTGGTATTTATGCAAAGATGTGTGAGGCGCAGAGCTTGGATTCGGCGGCATAGGCTTTCCTTTATAGTTAATCTCGTCTTATAGATCCTTTGATATTTCTTTTCTAATATTTTCTTGTAATATTTTGCTTTCATATAGGATGATGCGAAGCTAATTATCTTTTTTTGAGTTGATATAATGACACAAGCATCATGCAGATAACTGTTGGCTCCACAATATTCTGATACTTTTTTCTAAACAACATTTACTATTGGCTTGCGTCTCCGCTATCAAGTTGTTCTATAACCATGGCAAAGCTTCACAAGAACCATTCGCACCCAACCATCTGCGAACGTAACCACCAAGGATTCACATTTTCGCTGTCTTTCTATATGCTGTTCGAGGCTGCCGCTTAGCGAAAATCTTTGCGGTGCTAATTAAGACAATAGTCAACGCTTGGTGCAAAAACGGATCGTGTGCCATATGTGCGTATCAGGTCAATAACCTTCGAATATATACAGTAGAAACTGCTGTGTTAAATCTTTTGTGTTTGGGGAATTATTATGCTAACTTGAGACCATGCTTCTTCTTTCCTTGTGGCCATACCCATTCGTGACAATAGTTAAGTGTGGATGCCTGTGACCGTCATTTGTCGAACGTTCAGATTAACTCTCTTGCCTGACATCCAACCCTTCCACGTGTCAAACTTTGAAGTGCCTGCATCATCATCAGCGCACGATGGCCAATCTGCCAGCCATTCTGGGCATGTTCCTGGAACTATCTTGGGCACAGCATGCCATGCAAAGCGTGACGTGCCGTCCATATACACAGCATCCCCGGAGCGAAGTCGAATAATTTCACAGCCCTTCCCATCGTCATGACTAATAAGGAACAGGCCATCACAACCAAAACTGACACTGATTAAGCCGACATCGCATTCTTCACTGACATCCCGATGAGGGCTCAACGTATCTCCCGGCGAGTAGACATTCAAAATAGCTGCTTGTGCTTCCGTTTGTGGGAATGCTGCATGTAGTACACTTGCAACATCTTCTGGGAATGCTGGCGGGCGCTCCGCCGGATACTCTTTGGTAGTCCAATTATACTGGCCGCCCAGAGTTGCCCATCGGAGCTTCTTATTTAGAATTTGTTGAACAGTCAATGGCTTGTGTACGCCTGAATCCTTGGGGTAAACCACACGAGCCGGATCATCTTCGAAGAATGACAGGACGCCATTGCCTTCTGAGCCATTACCCGCCGACGACGTCGATGTTCCACTTTCAATGGGGGCATTTTCCGTTTCGCCCGGATAGGTGATGTTGTAGTGTAGATGAAGGTTTGTTTGATGCTCCTTGTTAGACAAGTCTCTATGTAATAAACGAGACAACAGCTCTACTTGTACCGCCGGAGGGAGCAATGACGGGATCATTTGCAAACCTACCATTTGTTAGGAGCCGATTCCGCTATGACTTGACAAAGACAATAGGGCATGGTGCTGACCAGAGACAGACTGATGTGTATATACTGGGATATCCTTATGCAGAGTATCATCATCCTTTTGACTTTCTCCGTATGCACGGACAAGTTGGTGGAACACTGGCTGCAGATGCTCACCTGGCATCCATTGTGCGAGAGAGATGTCACTTGGAAGCTTATCGGTATTTAGAGCTTGGAGATCAATAATCTTATGATCCAAATCTATATCCGATAGTGTGGCTTTTTGGATCTCTTTATAGCGGTGACGGATGGCCTCTGGCGGGCGTTCATGGGCATTGAGTTCTTTAATATGAGCCATAGCGGGAGATAAGTATGATACTCGGTGAATCAGTTCACTGTATGTAACATCAGTCCCAGTATATTAGTGCGAACTCTATCCTCGACTTGCGACCGATAATTCCATATGCAAAATTTCGGTGTCTATTGGAAGATATGAGGATTTCTCGTTTGCCTGGAAATGTAATTTATGTATGCATATCTACATCCACAATAAAAACTCAAAAAAAAAAAAAAAAAAAAAAAAGGAAAGTTGGAAGGTACTCACCGCCTTGAGACGCGGGTTTGTTTACGGTTGTTGATATCATTTTGACCGCCTTCGCTCCCCACCACAGAACGGGCATGAAAAGACTCCAGTGAAGTGACCCATCGATTTGACAACGCAAGTTTTTCGGAATTGGCTAGTCAAAACTCTTAAAAGCTCGAGATTGGAGCTTAGTCGGCGATCAGTCTGCACTTCCCGTAGCTGTTGATCACTCTCCCTTGAACCGACACGCAGCTACTTGACGCCAACCAGAAAACCCCCCGTTATTGTTGTGCTTCTCGCTTCTTCCCCGGGCAACACAACGCTGTCGTTTTGCAGTGCATTTCTGCGTACTGCCCCGCGCTCCGGTGGCTCAGGAGAGACGATTGACTTAATATCCTTCGCCTGAACCAAGCCTGTAACATTATCCTTCAAAAATCACGTAGTCACCATGGAGAATTACCAGAAGATCGAGAAAATCGGAGAGGGTAAGGTTCCGAAGAATGGCCCTAGGCTCTGCAGCCCTTGACCACCCCTTTTTTCAAACAGTTGAGGCTCTTCAGTGGCTAATGCGTATCCTTCTCACTAGGAACCTACGGTGTTGTCTACAAGGCCCGTGAGCTCACACATCCTAACCGCATTGTCGCCTTGAAGAAGATTCGGTTGGAGGCAGAAGATGAAGGCGTTCCAAGCACGGCCATCCGTGAGATCTCCTTGTTGAAGGAAATGAGCGACCCCAACATTGTACGACTCCTCAATATTGTCCATGCAGATGGCCACAAACTGTACCTCGTTTTTGAATTCCTGGACCTGGACCTCAAGAAATACATGGAGGCCCTCCCTGTAAGCGAAGGTGGACGTGGCAAAGCACTCCCGGATGGCTCTGCACTAAGCAAGAGTATGGGACTGGGGGATGCCATGGTCAAGAAATTCATGGCCCAGTTGATTGAGGGAATTCGCTATTGCCACAGCCACCGTATCTTGCATCGGGATCTCAAGCCTCAGAACCTCTTGATCGACCGTGACGGCAACCTGAAATTGGCAGACTTTGGACTGGCGAGAGCTTTCGGTGTTCCTTTGAGAACATACACCCATGAGGTATTTACATTGGAAACTAGTTGCTCTAGTTCTACATTGGCATTGACCCTTCAATCTTAGGTTGTAACATTGTGGTATCGCTCTCCCGAAATCCTCTTGGGTGGACGTCAGTACTCTACTGGTGTTGACATGTGGTCTTGTGGAGCTATCTTTGCAGAGATGTGCACTCGGAAGCCGCTTTTCCCTGGAGACTCTGAAATCGATGAAATCTTCAAGATTTTCCGGTATGTTGACCCACTTGTCGAAGACACGAAAAAGAGAGAAGGGAAAAATAAAAGGACGTTATGATCTCTGACTGCTTTTCACTACACAGACTCCTTGGTACACCGGATGAAATTGCCTGGCCTGGCGTCACCTCCTTCCCCGACTTTAAGCCGACCTTCCCCAAGTGGAAGCGTGAAGAAACCCGCGCACTCGTTCCTGGCTTAGAAGAGAACGGCCTTGATCTCCTAGACGCCCTTCTCGAATACGATCCAGCACGGCGTATCTCTGCTAAGCAGGCCTGCATGCATCCATACTTCCAGAACGGTAGCTCTTACTATTCCGGTCGCACCCGCAGGCACTAAGAGAGACCCTCATGATGTGTAATGTGTCCGTGGGCGGCTGCGGCAGACTCAGTGGTGCTATCCGTGTAGCGTAACAGCGCTCCTACTGCCTCCCTTCCAAATATCTTCGACGCTCTTATGCTTTTTTTCTTCTTTTATTCATTTTTCCTTTTAATTTCATATCTTCCTTTTCCGACTGGTTTGCGGTTTATTAAATGTCTTCTACTCCTTTGTTCATGGCGTTAATCATGGTGCGATGACCGGCAGGAAAGAGATTAGGTTACTGGATATTGCAAGGAGTGTTGTTGTCTTGATGTATGCATACATACCCATTCATAAATCTTTTATATATTGTGTAAGTTTCAAGGGGTACAGCAAGAAGGATCGTAACTACTCCGTACCACGTGCTGGATCACGGGTTTAGGGTGCTTTTTGGTGTGCCCAGCGCGATCCAAGCAATTGGCCAGTAAGATAATCTTCGCTCAGCCTCAACGATTCCTTCGCCTTGGCCTAATTTTCTTCTGAAGGCCTGTGTGGATTTTCCCGAGTGGGGAAATCAAGAATTAACTCAAGTGTCACTTTCAACATCCCAATAGTCCCATCGCTTATCACTATACTAACTAGGTTAGTGATGAATCATGGCCCAATAACATCAATTATCACTGTGCTTTTAGCTCTACTAGACCGACTGCTAACGTTTGGTTAACGGAGGTTTGCAGAATTACACAGCCTCTAAGTGAATTCTGGTCTGGGCCTGTCGACCAGCCCAGCCAGACCAGACTCGCCAACATTGAATTGTTGGCTGTGTTCTTACTCTGAAAACAACGTAGTCATTTCCCTGCATATGCACCTGTTATTTTGCCACTCATATTACATGGACTTTAATATACGCTTACCCCGGTATGAAATTAGTGAACATGTTACAGTCGAGCATGGAGGTTCGGCGGCCTGCAGAGTCCGTTCAGCTGCCATGCTTTGATAAGTACGGCGATACCTCCTATTTTGAGCATGCCAAATGGGGGCCAAATGCAATACTCGGGGATCCCGTTAGCAAGGGCTGTCAGCCCGTTGACTCAAACGGTTTAGAAAGCGTTCGGCATAAGCGCAGCTTGCATATCATTCGCTTATACTCCGAATCGCTGAACTAAAGAAGACAAGCTAAACCCTGCCATTGCGTACAAGGCGTCCCGGGCTAAAATTTAGGCTGTATATCATGCGGCACCCCGATTGGCTCACTTTTCATTCTGTATTAAAAGGTGTGTGACGAGAGAGGTCCAGTCCACCAACTTTATCAGTCTGATTCGCTCAGCCTCAGGTTTCGACACGAGGTGGCCGTGTGAAGCCTTTGTTTCAAGGCTATCATTAGATTGTGCCTTGGTTTTTTTTCTTTTTCCTTTTTACTTGAATTCTGAGCTGGGAAAAAAAAAAAAAAAAAAAAAAACCTCTCGCTTCGACGTATAAAAGCCCCTCAGCTGTATCGGTGACTCTCGATGCTGCGACCCAGTCTCAAACTCATCACCACCCCACTTGAGGCCATTAACCAGTAGGCCCAGATAAGGCTCGCAAAAATGGATCACGACGACGATCTTACCGACATGGTTTTCACTCCACCACTCTCAACACGCTCAGGGGGTCGAAAGCGAAGGGCAAGCCAAACGCCGCAGGAAACCCTGCGACAATTTTGGAACCAGTTCAACTCCAAATTCCCAGGAAGAGTCTATACTGTACTGCCCGACAATCCCTATGCACGAACCAAGGCAGAAAGGGTACCGAAAGGTGTTATCCAGGGACAAGATGCGGGCAAGTCCTATGAGGAAGCCCGGAAGGAATGTCGACGAGCCGTCGATCGCATTGTGAAAGAGTGCGAGCGACTGAACCAAAAATATACAGACCCGCATTTCGACATAGAAGTTGATCTCAAGTCGGGAAAGAGGAACTGCTTGGATACGCTCGAGGAGGGAAATATGGAGATGCGTCCCAGGGGTGTGAAGAGAGTGACAGTAAGTTATGCAGCACATGCCGCTGCGATCAAAAGATAGCCATGATCTGACATGTGGTTTTAGGAAATCTTTGAGAAGCCACGGTTCTTCGTCAATGGACCAACTGCTTCCGACGTGCGCCAGGGTCGCGACGGTGACTGTTGGTTCATGGCTGCCCTCTGCACAATGGGCAATAAACAGGGTTTGATTGAGCAGATTTGTGTAGCCCGGGATGAGAAGATCGGTGTCTATGGATTCGTCTTCTATCGAGGTATGTGATATCTTGTGCCAATCTTCTGCTGATACAAAGGACACTTACACTTTCCAGATGGTGAATGGCAACAATGTATCGTGGACGACAAATTGTACTTGCGAGCGGCCGACTACGATGAATCCGTCGATGAGCGGCCGATCTGGGACGACATCAATCGGGCTGATACAGAAGAAGAGTATCGCAAGGTCTGGCAGACTGGATCGCGAGCTTTGTACTTCGCTCGGTGTGTAGATGAGAACGAAACTTGGCTGCCATTGCTTGAAAAAGCTTATGCAAAAGCCCATGGCGATTTTTCGGCCATAGAAGGTGGTTTTGTAGGGTCAGTGTTGCTACTACCCAAGGATTCTATTGGCAACTAACATTGTATAGGGAGGCTATTGAAGACTTAACTGGTGGTGTTACTTCCGAGATCCTGTCGAGCAGCATCCTAGACAAAGATAGATTCTGGAAGGAAGAGCTCATGAAAGTCAACAAAGAATTCCTTTTTGGTTGTGGTACCGGCTTGTACTCTAACTGGCTGGACCCGAAGTATCGAGGCCCTCCAAGAGACAGAAAGGGTATATCCGAGAACCATTCATACTCGATTATGGACGCAAAAGAAATCGATGGAGAGCGCTTGCTTCGTCTAAGGTATGTCTATCCGAGAATGTGACACTGCATCACTAGCTGATCAATCCAGGAACCCTTGGGGTAAGAAAGAATGGACTGGCGCATGGAGCGACGGGTCAGAGCAATGGACACCGGAGTGGATGGAAAAACTAGGACATAAATTCGGCAACGATGGTGTATGGCTCCTCGGATCTGGTTTACTACGAGATACAGGCTAACAACAGATGTCACAGTTCTTCTGGATCTCCTATAATGACCTTCTCAAGAAATATCAGCACTTCGACCGTACCCGTCTGTTTGGACCAGAATGGTCGATCGCACAGCAGTGGACTACCGTGAATGTGCCATGGTCTGCCGACTACCACAGCACTAAATTTATGGTGAATGTGACCAAGGCAGGCCCAGTAGTCCTCGTCCTCTCCCAGGTAAGCTCCTGCACCCAGGTTGCATTGGCACGCATGACTTGGGAGAAACCCCACTAACCTAAAAAAAAAAGTTGGACTCGCGCTATTTCAGGGGGCTAGCTGGTGAATACGGCTTCGTCCTCAAGTTCCGGGTGCAAAAGGAAGGCGAAGATGACTACATGGTGCGCAGCCAAAGCAGCCACTTGATCTGTCGATCCGTGAATGCAGAAGTTGATCTCGAGCCTGGCCGCTACCATGTATTGATGAAGGTCACGGCATACAGAAACGGCGAGATGGAATCGACTGAGGAAGCGGTAAGCCGCTTAGCACCGATCAAACGAGAAAAACTAGTCCAGATCGGTCTCTCCTACGACCTGGCGCATGCCAAAGGCATGGTAGCCGAGACGGAGGATGAGAGGCGAACACGCGAGGAGATAGACCAACGTCGCAAGGCAGTAGAAAGACAGAAACAGATCGAGGCCACCAGAAAGAAGTTGCAAAAAGAATGGATTCGGCAGCAGAAGATGACCGCTCGGAAACAAAGAATGGCTGAGAGGCTTTCTGCCAAAAGCCACAGCAACGCCGTTAGAAACAAAGCCATCGAGCAGATTCTCACTGACGGTCCAGTACAGTCTCCGGTAGAATTGGGTAACGGCTCAGGTGATGGCTTTGGTTCGAAGCATACAAGGAATGGAAGCGTGCCAATCATACAGTGCAACGGTGTTCATGTTTCCGAAGCCGAGATCACCGGGAAAGGACAGTCGGTACAGTCGACTTTAGACTCTACGTACTCCAGTCTTTCATCATACCATGAAGATTTGGACATGTTGGAAGGATTCGAGTTTGACCCTGACCTTGATATGCCCCCTGAAGAGCCAGCAGAGCCGAAGCCTGCACACTTGACATCCAATGGCTGTCTGGAGGAGATCACCAGTGACCCTTGGAATGCTGTATGTGTCGTGGGCTTGCGGGTCTACTCCAAAGATCCGCAGTTGTCACTCGAGGTAGTCCGTTCCATGTCTGAGGGTGATACCGGTGCGGCGCTTGATATGGACGATCCCCTGAAGAGTGCCTCCTTTAGTCGACTGGAAGCTAACTAATTTTATGATCTTGAACACGTCTTGGTTAATAAAAATAGCGGCTTTTCTCTGGTGTCTTAGCGATTGATAACAATAGTGTTTTATAAGTACAAGCATAATGTGGATATAATTTAATTTTTGGTTCATTCATCCATTCATTATTCATCTCATTGCCATATTTTATCATTACTATTCTAATAGCATCAGCGTGTCATGAAACCAGGCGTTCAACTCCGCATACCTAAATACAACTTCAAACCTGTTAAAACAAATATAGCACAGAAGAAGCCCTGCAAAAGGCTTGGATAGCAAGACGAAAAGAAAAAGTGGGAGAAAAAAAAAAAAAAAAAAGAAGTCCCTCTGCACACTTTTTATCATAGTCTGGCCGTTGCTAAGATGCCTGGATTATTCTTGAATTCGGGGCTTTTAACCGTGCCCTGCATGGGGGCCAAGTCACGTTCCTCAAGAGCACCTGGCTCGCCAGGCTCAGGTTTGAAACCATCATATACTCCAGCCAGGAACTGCATAAAAGCTTCCAGATACTGGACAATTCTCTCTTCGGGTACACCCCTCAGCACCTCTGACAGGATACCGGGTGCGTAGTAGGGAAGAATGGCAGTGCCATCTTGAATGCCATTTACACTCAGTCCCTGCACCAGATCCGTCTTTATAGAAGATGGCAAAGTCGAAATAGCGTTCTGAAACTGCTCTGCTTTTTCCTTAGTCTCCACTCGCCCCATGCAAAGAAGTCGAAGAAGTGCACGCTGTTCCAAGATTTTAGTAGATAGTGAAGCGAACCCATCGGCCTTCAGAATATCAGCACGGTAAGCCAAATAGCTATCGTAACATTCTGGCCAGTCTGGGTTTTCCATCGCGCGATATTCATCCAAGAGCTCAATTGCCTTCATATAGTGACTGAATATCGGCTGCGTCATCACAATGCACCCGCGCGGGTCACTATGCGCAGCAGCCCCTCCCACATCCAGCAATGTTACCATGGCTTTGATATTGAATGCATCCTGGAGCTTCTGGCCATTATCCAGAGCAAGCATGCTGTGCGGGACTGTTTCCCCCTGGACTATTTGTGAAATATCAAGTTTCGAGCCGATCCTCAGGCTCTGGATGATATTATGTTTCTTGGTTTGATCTGTGATGCTTTCCAACGCAGGCACTAATCCCTTCTCCGCGGCCTTGAGCAACACTTCTCCATGGTTCTTTTCCGGGATTCCCACGCTCTGGGCAAGAGCTTTATCCTTCCCGATATCGTCAATTGCAATGGCAACAATAAGAGCGTATATATCCTCTGGGGTAGGCAATCCACGGCAAAAGAACTTCCGCAACTTTTTGAAAGAGTCCTCTTCAAGCTTCCCGTTATCTTGACCGCTTGTGAAAGTGTCATAGTCGCCCGCCAGGATCCATTTGATGGCCAACATGCTGGTTAGTGTTCGATTCACTTCGTGGAAATCCTTCCCGAAGACTTTCTGTGATGGTGTCCCATCCCAATTCCTCGTTGCACCGGATTCCACGGTGGGACTTGCATTCTTTAGATGATTGAGCTCCGTCTTAAAGGCGTTCTTGAAAAGTCCAAGAACCTCATCATCTGATTTGGTGATAAATTGGTTGTTTTTAACAATATCAACAAGAGTCTCCTGTGGGTCGACCATATTGGACAACAATATCTTGAGACAATAAATCTATCACTGCATGAATTAGTAAGAAAAAAAAAAAACTGGGCTCAGCGCCACGATAAATAGATGGATTTTTGCACGGGGCCGCGTTTGTGAGAAGAGGCTGAGTGTTATACTAAAGAGAGGGTCATTGCCCAGCCGGGCTGGGGGGGCCTAGCGGTATTTTAAACAAAAACAAATGAATAAATTTGAAGGTGAAGAATTTACAAAGTTCGAGGAAAAATTCTAAGTGAGAATTGGCAAGGGCAAGGGAGACTGAGCGACAGCATTCTTGGATGATAGAATATTAGAATACATAAAGAGCTGCATAATTTAATCCCGATTATTACTAAGGTAATCCATTATTTCTATTCTGGACTACAACGAGCGTTTCGAAACATCCCGCCATTTTATCCTCTTGCCGTTGTTGGAAAGTTCCCGCAACCGTCTGAACTTTTACCTTTTGTATACGAGCATACTTGCGCATTGCTTTGAAAACACCTCTGATAACCCCTTTGCCTGTCACACGACAGACTCATCTTTCGGCCAGACTACAAGAGCACAAGGCTCGTCTCGTTTTCATATCTCAAGTCATTCAATTCCTGTCGGTAATAACGAATACATATCCCTGAAGTAAGCAAACCTAGGCGTCATCAATAACCTGAAACTAACCAAATACAAACACCATCCTCACCAGTAATCATCCATCTATGTACCACCAGGTCCTTTATTCAAGGACCCCTAGTCCGACACCACACCATAAAACCACCGAAACTGCTAAGTTAAACCCAACACCAACCCCCAGAAAGAATCCTAACACTACCTACCCAACCTCTCGGCTTCGACAGGAATCCTGCAGAGCCTCCAGCCCGTGCGTTTAGGCATCCTATCCTAGGCACCCACATCGGCGGGTCTCTGACATTCATGCTAGCGCTTACAGAAGCAAAGCCGATCAATGCAGTAGCAGCGGCTCTCGAAGCCGGCCTTTGATTGGACAGCGCTAGACGAGTACTACTACTAGTATTAACTTCGCCCGCTCAATCAACATCAATGACCACCGCCACAGTTGTTACCATGGCGAAGAACCCTCTATCCACAGGGTTTGCTCACGTTGCTTTACGTGCGAAAAGGGGAGGTTTTCTTTGTTTCTTTGTTTCTTTGTTTTTTGTTAACTCCGAAACGGTGTTTTGATGTATTTGTGTCACCGCTTCTCTTTCTTCGGTCGCCTGGGAAGGATGTTCTGGAATTATTGTCTTCGGAGTCTCTTACTAGGCGAGAGTATCCGGTTCCTGGGTTGAGATGGGGGGGGACAATCTAAGTTGAGAGATGCTGCTGACTCTCAGAGAGTTGTGGATATTGATGGATGGCAATGACGATATGGCAATGAACGGGCCATTTTACGAATACGAGCTAAGAGCCCCGTGCCCAACCTAATTGTGAGCACGATACGGAGCTGAATACTCTCCCCACCGTTGTCGAAAGACCGCTTTCGCGATAGCCACCGGGTGGTTTAGACTACCGCGGAAGCCGTGCGAGGTGACTTCTACTTCGCCGCAGTCGACCCACTAAAAACCTACAAGTGACTCTACCGTGGATACGGTTTTCGGTTCGCGAAGGTATACATGCCATTGCCTCTTCCAGAAGGAAGTGGGTGCGGTGATATTAAGCCAAGACGAACTGCGCCGCATCTATGACGCTCGATCCTGTGTCAACAGGCTCATGAGATGGTCAATGCGTCCTGTATGCTTCTGGGGTCACAAGGAAGGCTTCGCTTTGGTGAGGAGTGAGTTACGCTGTGTCAGGTCCCTCCTGGGACGTGGTCAGCCTCTGGTCAGAGCGGTGGTAGGGAATGGGTGGATGATATGTTACGTTGCGGAACGGGGTGATCAACGAACCAAATAATACTCCGAAAAACCAGGAAGTGAGATCAAAGGTCCCCCAAAGATGGGGATGATACAGTAAAAACAAGATGACAAGAAAGGAAAACAAGCAAAAAGAAATCAGAATGCTCCCACGCGGATTTGAACCGCGGACCTCATGATTACTAGTCATGCGCTCTACCAACTGAGCCATAGGAGCTGTTCTTGAAAGACTTTTTTTATGAAGCATATATGATCTACCATGCGTGAGATGTGAATATCAAGAGGACAAGTTAATCCTATCCTATCAGATTGATTGGGAAAGCAGAAGGTGCGCGGAAATACAATGCGCTTCTATACGGCCTGCGACTCATTAAAATCAAGAAAAAGGTTTGAGGACATGTTAACACATATTAATTTCTATCTTATAATGTCTATAAAGAAGACCCCCCGAAAGCGTTCCCATTTGGAGTATCCCACCAGGGCTCAATATCGGAAAGACTGGGCAATGCAGGGTCCTCCCCGAAGGTATTGACATTGCCAAGTTGGGAGAAACTACTATCTCCAAAATTGCCCGAAAGCAACTGTAGGTCAGAATTACGAATCCAATCGAACTCCCCAGGCACCCCAATTGGCTGAGTCGCGTCGAGAGGATGCTGCCCAGAGGGTTGTTGCGGTTGGTTAGGAACGGTGGCAGTAGCCTGTGATGTCGCTGTCGCAGAGACTGGGTAGTTGATCTGGCTTCTCGGGGCTGTGATTCGTGTTTTTTTCCTGGAAGCATCTGCGTCCGAGCCAAGGCCTACTAGATGCTGCGATGATGGACGGTTGCTTATTTGGCGCTTCAGAGCTGAACCTGACCTGCGCATATGGGCCTGCCACCTTCGTTGGAGACTGACTAGGAAGTCACGGGTCCGTTTGGCATTCTCGAACGACTGGCCCAGTTCGTCCAATGCACGGAAACAAAGATTCAGATAAGCAACCATTTCCGCATTGTTATTGGGGTTGTCACTGGGACTTCTGCCAGAAGTGGAAGTGTTTGAAATTGTGACGTAAAGGAGCATCAAAGCCGCGCTGAATATGATGGCCACAACTTGGTTGTTCATGCGACGGAATGTATAGAACTTCTCGTAGATATGGAGCAGCCGTGCGATTGCCGTCGAAGACTCGATACACATTCGCCTAGCATGGTGATAGCCTGGTCCCTGGCGAGGAGCCCGCGGCTGGATGTAACTTTTCGAAACCCAAGGTCGGTGCGTGAAAATCACGATTTGGTGATATTGCATACTGCATTCGAGTCAGCTTATCCGTTTGATTGATTTTCCTATTCTGACAGAACACATAGACATACTGGAGCATGAGGAGCTGGGGGAGTTGAGGAATTGTATCGTTCTCGAGGTTAATATCCAGAATAGACGGCAGATTTGCTTTCCAGGCAAACAAGTCATCTGTTACCCTATGGCACAACCTTTGGAGGTCATGCCGAGGGATATCGGAGCAACCATACCTGCACCGCATTAGTACACGTGATGGAAAATGATAGCATTAAGCCATGCTTTCAGAAAATTGAGCGCTCACAATATATGACCAACAGGTGAGATTATCTCCCATAGAACGGCAAATTGTCTGCTGATCAATTCATTTGGATTCCTTAAACCGTGCTTTAGGATGTCTGATTTCGTTGGAAGTCCATAAGGATACCATGTGCTTTCTTTCTCTGCGCCTAGATCGGACGCAAGCTTCGGGACGGTGATGTCTCCTGCATTCATTCGAAATGGCCTTCCTAAATAGAAGCCCCAGAAACTATAGCGATGTCAGGCCTTTGAGATACATCACCACGGGTTCAACCAAACATACTGATCGGCAGTGTAACTTCCCCAGAACGCTATTCGCCGCACATCAGCCTCAAAGGCACCTATTTCTCCTTTCTCAACATAGGGTGTCATGTCAATGTGTAGTCCAAGGTCGAACGCGAGCCTTGTGGACATCCCTAAACCAGTATCAGCGTCATATGCCTCCAATCCTCAGCATTTACTACATACCACTATACAGCCACCCACGAGCATCACGGTTCGCAGAACCTTCGTGGCAACTCAGAATTACAAGTGCCTGTACTGTAGCAACACAGGGAGAGTCCAGCTCAATCTCTAGAAGAGCTTTCGCCCTGTCTGCGAAGAATTCTGACAAAGATTTAGGAAAGGTGATGAAGGTAGGATGATATCTTGCTTCAAAAGCGCTTCCAATAGCACACCTAGCTTTTCGTTAGTCCGTATACCGCATGGTGTCTAGCATGAAACATACATCGCATTCGTAAGAACTTCCGAATAGAATGGCGTGTCATCATACTCGTTCCTCCACTTCGATCTAGCAATCATATACATATCTTTATCAACCACATAAGTGCTTGTATTCTGCCAAGTGAAATACAGCTCCACAAGATGGTCTTCAAGTGCTTGGTCAACGGGCTGTCCAACTCGTAAATGATTCAGGATATCCTGTCCATCATGCCGGACTGTGCGCGCATCAGGACGTTGGCGCTGTTGGGTCGCAGAAACATCTACCAGGTTGAGGTTCGACGTCGCTCCATAAAAGCGTAAGTGACCATCGCCCGCGATTTTTAGGGTACCAATGCGATTCGAAATTTGCTCGATAACGTCTTTCTCCGCCTCGTCTTCGTCGCCGCTGTCTGATTCATACTCTCTCTCGTGACGGGCTTGCCTGAGCAGCTCTCCGGGCTGCTGCTGCATATCCGGGGTCAACTGCAGGCTTTCCGGACTAAGACTGTTTTCCTGCGAAAGACTGGTGCCGTCATTTAAATTGGCATAGATCGTGTCCAAACTCTCTGCCGTTGGAAGTGTAAAACTCCAATTCGCAGGAACATAATGGCTTGTAGGAATGGAATTAATCCCGAACGAATTCACTGTTTCTCGGCCTTTCTCAGCCGAAGGAACGAGCTTTTGATTAGACAACGCATTCTGTGGCGGTGAAGGAATCTCTGGGGGACGCCCATTTGTATCCGGCAAAGCTGAAGGGCTGCTGTGCGCCGGTGAATGCGCAACAACTTTTTGCGGAATAGAGATCATTTCATTAGATACGCTCGTTTCTCTTTTCTTCGCTAGCCCGCGGGGAATCTGTAGCGTATCCAAAACTCTGTTGACCCCCGCCTCATCCTCGGGTTTCATTGGGGGCGGTTCCAGCCCATGGTCATAAATGAACTGACACAGTTGATCTATTCTAGCAGAGAACAGCTCTGTGGCAGCACGAAGAGATACCCTGAAGTAAAGCTAGTCAGCGCCTGTCTGCTGTGCGCGAGCGTAGATCACAAGCTTTGCCTGCCTTCTCGGGAACGCGAGATCTGCTGTACTCAAGACACGATATGCATTTCCAGATTGACCAGCAGTAGACACTAGATGAGCTAAACATACTTCCGTTTGTCATCGCCGTGTTGGTATTTACAGTCTTTGCCTTTCCTCTCACAGTTATGGCAATGTGGAGTAGCTCCGTCGCACTGGTAAAGAGCCGTCAGTTGGGAAAAATACAATATAGGTCATGTGATGATCGATGAAAGCATCTCGAACAAAATCGCCCACGTACCCTGATCTTGCTCTCCCGGCAAGGAACACATGCCGTAGTGACATGTTTGCGAGGCGCCCTCTTGGGCTTCTCTGAATCAGGCTCCATCGCACAGGTTTAGTGTGGCGGGAAGCGTGGGGGAGACGAAATTCTCTCCGGTTTTTTAGAAACAACCGGGGCGGCTAATTCACAAAACGAAGAGAGAAAGCATGGGTCAGCCGACATCTACAAAGGATGGCTTAGCAGAATACATGTCCATAGCAAGATTTGCGAGAATGATGAAGTTGCTCAGCATGGCAGCGCAAAAAAGCTGTTGGGTCCCTGGGGGTGTGGTTCCTGGGGAAGTCTGGAAACGATAGGAGCTGATGGCTTCTGACTGGGCGGGGAGCTGCCCCACTTTCACCCCAGAGTGCCCTATGAGACTCGTCGCAACACTCATCACTATCCACCTGAGGTAAATTTTCCCGCTCTCAGGTGATCCATTGCAGTTCCTACTTTCAATGGACATTGATATTGACATATAGAAATAGCTACACATATGCTCCCATTATACTAACATTGATAATATATATTACTAGCTAAAAGTACCATGCACTCGACGGTAGCCGCGATACCTAAATCAGTAGAGAGCTCAAGAGCTATCTGACATTTACCAATTGCTGGTGCGCTTGAGTGCCTCGTTCTGAATCACTTCGATCCAGTACCCATCAGGGTCCAGTACAAAGGCAACGTTCTTCATCCGACCGTCAGTCAAACGCTTCTTCCAGTTAACTTTCAGTGATTCGAAGCGCTCGCAGGCGGTATTGAGATCGTCAACAGAAACGCCTACAGCAAGTATGGCAGTGTCAGTGGTTAGGGCTCTTCCAGCTTCATGACGGCATCGGCAAAGAGTAGGTCACTTACAAATATGGCCGAAACCTTGTGGCTCAGCGTTGCCATTGTGGTAGACAGGTCCTTCTTGCTTCTCCGTTCCATAGTTCCAGGTGAGCTCGAGCAAACCTTCCCACTCGGCCACGGGGTTCTTAGCATCCTCCTGCACTTTGGGGTTCCCCGCAGCGTATCCCAAGAAATAGAGATTGAAGCCTGCATCCTTGTTCTCGGAGGTTCGCAAAAGGGTCATGCCCATGACTTCTTGGTAGAATTTCAAACTTGTCTCTGCGCACTTCACGCGGAGCATGCTGTGGTTGAGTCGGTAGTTGGCAGTATCTGTCGTCGTACCCACATCCTCATTATGACGACGGATAATCTCGACCCAGTAACCATCAGGATCCTTAGCGAAGGCAATGTGCTTCATGCGACCATCAGTGAGCTTCTTCTGGAAAGGATAGCCAGCATCTTCAATTCTCTTGCAGGCCGATTCGATATTGTCAACAGAGATGGCAATGTGACCAAAGCCGCGATGAGGTTCCGTGTTGCCGTTGGCTACGCTGTAATTGGGGTCATTCTCTGTGCCATAGTTGTGGGTGAGCTCCAGAACAGCGTTGCGGTCCGTCCAGTGACGGTCACCCTGCAGGGACTTCGGGCCGTTGTATGCGAGGAAGTAGAGGGAAAACTTGTTATCAGGGAAATCGAGTTGTTGAATTTGAGTAAGTCCGAGGAACTTATAGAATTCCACTTGGGTAGGAGATTTGGTAAGCACGATTATTTTAAGCCAGCAATGACGCCATGATGCAGAGGTACTCACAGGACTTCTTCGGGTCCTTCACCCGGATCATAGTGTCTGTTCAAGCACCATTGTCAGCATTTTATTCGCATTCCATTGAATTGGAAACCAACTAACGATTGAGCTTATACTTGGAAGTATCCGTCGCCATGGTTGCGATATATCGATTGGTTCCTGTATCGATTTGTAAGTAGCTGACAAGGTGGCCAGTGGGGTAAATCTTAGCCTAAGCTTTTGCTTGGAGGCCGACCTGATGGGATAGAAAACCTTAGGTTGAGGACCCTGGTAGAGGATGTGCAAAACGAAGGAAGAGCACGAAAAGCAAACATAGGGACAGGAGGGGTAAGAGGGGGGGGAAAAAAAATAGGTGTGGTGTTACTATTGCTTAGTGAGCGGCGTGAGGGGAGAGAACTTGAAGTGGAAAAGGTGGAGACACCCTATGACGCTATGGCACTCCATCGAGTATTGCCTTCGAACGATAGGAACTTACAGCAAAGTACTCTTAGATTAAGGTATGTATGAAAAGAATATATCAGAACCTGTCAATGTACTTATTCACTAAACTTACGATCGTTCTTTGGTTGAGAGTGAAAGAAATGATAATGTACCTGAATGCACCTCATCTATACAATTTCACGTGAGATATAGAGCAATCAATCACTAGAGGCTAAGTAGCTAACCTACTACTAACCCAGTCAAGCGAATACGGCCCCGTAAGTGGTCCAGCGATTTATGCCTTCTGTTTATTTAGCCTACTACTTATTGGGCATCAAGTCCTCAGCCTCTAGATGTGACCTAGCGTATACATCAGAAGATCTACAGGACTATGATGGTTTATATAATATTAGATGTCTCTTAAGACACGCATCAGGGCAAGGCCCTAAATCCCCTCGTATAACTGCAAGTTGCAGTCCCCCAAGTAGAATAGGTTCGAGACCATAGCGCAAATATATAATATTATAACAAATGAGTATGACTCAAACAGCCCGGTGATACGAATTGATCTTCGCATTATGGGACTGAGACGCTGCTAAATTTGGACTCCCCGTGGGGTTTAATAGCTACACAGTAATTGCTAGTATAATATTCGAGATTTGATTGACAAACACTTGTATGTAAATCGAGCTGGAGAACCAAAGGGCTATACCCGTTTGGGTAAGTCAAATCAGCAGAAAAGGCGGTGGCCTGATAGGGAAGGGGACAACACCCAATCGGGTGATGACATGGGCGTTCATTCATCCATTCATTCCTCTTGCTTTGCTCTTCAACTACTAGTAGTATACATACTATCTGATCCCCTACTTCTGTCGGAGTTTACCTCGAAGTATCTACATCTAGTCTGCCGCATTTGCCGGCGATAATCTGATCAAATTGCGGCTTCGGATTACTCGTCCAAGTGCTGGTCCTCTTCCTCCATCAAGGTTTGTCCGCTATTCTTTGTTGATTTCCCTAAATTTCCCCCCCAACGATCTTCGTCTGCTTAGATCACACGCGACTGGCGTGGATTCCGTTGCTTGCTTTTTCTGTGGCCTTGTCCAACTGCATCTCGCATTCTTCCTTGCCTGCCCAACCCGGCCTGCATGCCCCACGGGCTACTTTCCCCACGTTTTAGAGATCAATGTTGATCAACTCGTGCCTACAATGGATTGCGCGGCATTGGGTCTAGTCATGGAATGGGACCGTCAGCCCATTTTCTGTCTTCATTCCCTCCTCGAACTTAACCATTTTTGTGCCCCCTGATCGTGTGGTGCGCTATACACCGTCTAAGATTAGATTCCCTCTTCCTACCTTTTAAGACTATCATCCCCCATGCCCCTGCGCTTCTAGATTCTTCTAAACCACTTTGGTTGCACCACTTGTCCCGCTATCACTGGACGCAAATGGCTGAGTATCAACTTTCAGTTCGATTTGGTTATTCCTCTAAGGAATCCGCTGCTCTCTACGAAGCAGAACACTGTCCATATTGGGCACAGAGCCCGGTCAAGTACGCCCAAAACCTCTTAGAGTACTCAGACGAGCCGATTGAGTACGATCATCACGACAGTGACTACTCAGACAACTGCTTCTTCTTCCCTGAAGACTGTTCTTGGTCACCCCCTCGTGACTGGATCCTAGAAAACGAAGAGTCCGACGACGATATCTCAAATAGCGAGGACCACGACACCATGATTCCCGGTCTTCCCGATATCAAAATGCTCGACGCGGAGGCCCTCAGCGACTTGCTAGAGGATAACCTCTCGCCCCCGGAGATCACCACGATTCTGTACGGTATATCGTGATCGCTTTACTACCCCCACTATTGTGCTAATGGGCTGTCATTCATGTAGAGTATTTGGCACTAATGGTGCCATATTTGCGTACGCCTCATCTCTTCCATCCCGGCAGCTGCGGAATCTGAGCGCAACATACGGAGCCGCTTACACAGCCTACGCAAAGAACGCTTCAAGTGGTAACCTAACAGGTGTAAATCCTGCAAGTCACCCATCATCATATGTGACAGCCCAGTCCGTCACTCTCGGCGACGTAGGGTCCATCGTCTTCGAACTCGACGAGCTTGTCGCCGTAGTCACCAGAATAGCGGATAAAGTACTCCTTGCCGCCGTTGGACCGTCCAAACTGGAGCCCGAGGGAGAGACGGGCCCTTCAAATGGTGCGCAGAATGGCTCCATAAACCCCAGTGCGGACGAGTTCCCCCTGCATGAGCCTAGAACAGGCGCCAACGGTACCTCCACCAACCAAACTCCCACCAACGGAACCCCCAACAATATCAGCCGAACTCACAGCGAGGCCAATATGCAATCAGATGCGCAACTTGAAGCGCAGTATGAAATCGACCGAAGCAACGACCTCGCGCGATTGGCAAGCCTAAATCTGTCGTCCTCGCCGTCCATTCTGCTCGCTCTAGAGTCCAAATCTGCAGCGTTAGGCAAATTCCTCAGTCAGAAATTGGAGGATCTTGAGAGCCCTGAGGACTTCTAGGCCTATGCCACAATCGCTCTTTTCCTCGCCTAACCCTTCTTCTTCTTCTTCTTCTTCTTCTTTTTTTTTTTTCAAATTGTTCTATATTGCTTTTCTTCATGAGCCGTATGAGCTTCTTGTTATTTAGCCTATGATTCCATTTTTGATCGATACTCCCGTCTCGAAGCGTGTTGTCATTCAACCTCGTGATTTATGAAGGCCGTGTTCGATTATTTGTTTGGACAGAGCAGAAATTGTGTACTGAGAACTACTCAACTTAGTGGACCCAGCAAGCATGTTCGACCAATTGATTATTATGAACAAATTAAAATTTTTACAGCAAGAAAGGTATTTAGGTACCAAACCTATAGCAATTGGCCAAGTGGTTAATAGGTTAGACGAGAACAATAGCGTTTTGAAAAGAAGGTATATCGCTAAATCTCTGCTTTCAAGAAGGAAAGATATTATAGCAACCATTATAGGCAAATTGTCCAAGTTGGATATAGAAAAGTAATGAAGTGACTTATGCTTTGTCGCCGGTAGTGGCGGTTCCGCCCGGAGCAGTATGGAAGTGTCCACTGGCCGTGCTAGCGGTTCGAGACACTGCAGGGGGGGAGACAGGGGATTGAGCAGTTGCCTCGCTTGCAGCTGGCTGTGCAGGTTGCGCGGCCTGGGTTGCGCTCTCAGGGGCTGTGGCCTGAGTTGCGCTTTGGGGAGCCGTAGCCTCAGCGGGGCTCGTGGCCTGGGCGGGGCTCGTTGCCTCATTTGCCTTCTCACTGTAAGCGGGGGGATTGGTGACGGCAGGGCTTGCAGGCTGGGAGGATGTGGGGGCGGCGGCAACAGCGGCAGCGGTATGCACCGGGCCACGAGTGCAGTCCTTAATGACGGTCCACCATTTTTCGGCGTCGTTGGCAGTGTGTGCTTTGAAGTTCAGTTCAGTGGTGGTGTGGAAGGCGTTGCCGACTTTGCTGCCCGAGACATCCTTGCCTTTCACGCTAAACTTGACGCCGTCGATCGCGCCAATGACACAGTCGGGAAGGTATAGGGATAGCTCTGGAGCCGGATCGCGGCGGAAGTCGTCGTCATCCTTGAACTCATGGAGGTACCGCGCAGGGGTGACAACGTAGTAGCCAGAGCTATAGCCCTTAAGCATGGCACGGGACTTGCGTTCCAAGGACCCTTCGATCAGTGCCTTGGTTGCACGATGATCCATGTTGGGGAAAGTGATGTTGGAGAGGGTCCTCGGGGGTGCGTCCGGGTTGATCAGGACATCGTCATTCTTCGTGATGAAGTTGACCCACTCGAAGTCAGGAGGGATCTTCTGAGCGGAACCCAGCATATCCTGATACATAGTGCCCTGATGCTCGAGCTGGCCAGAGACGATCTGGACGAACTGTTCCATGGCCCCCTGAACGGTCTGCAGAACATGGGCCTCGAACTGCTGGAAGTTATTCTGTACAGCAATGATATCCTTGCGGTTGTTGTTCTCCTCGATGATTTGCTTGTTGAGACGATGGTTGACACCCCGGCGCAAGATGTAAGGGTCGTGGTACTGTTCGAGTTTGTTTCCTGCGGCAGCATCCATGGATGCGGTTTGTTGCGCAAGGAGCTCAATGTGCTTCTGGGTGACAGATCGGGCCTTGTCCACAGCCTTTGCGCTCTTGGAAGCACCACTGGCAAGCTCCTTCGACTTGGCCTTGATTTCCTTATGAAGACGCTCCAAGGTTGGAGACACAGTTCCCTTCAAGTTCTTCTCCGTCTCGAGGTACATATTCACCATTCCCTGTCAAGGCATTAATGGCGAGGGCAACATTGGGAGGGGCGGAACAGATTATACCTGAGTATTAGCGCGGATGTTCTCAAACATGGAAGCCACGCCACCAGCGTTTTGGGAAAAGTGGTGGCCTTCCCTCAGCGGCTCACTGACGGTCTGTCGTGACAACCTTCGTTAACTAATCTGGACATATGGGTATATCGATAGATGATCGAAAGGGCGCCTACACACCTTGAGAACTTTCTCATAGTCCTTCGAATGTGACTTCTGTACCTTCGAAGTCACAGTGACATAGTCCTCCAGATAACCACACATATGCTTCAAAGCGCGCAAGCGCTCGTTGAGCAGGTTTGTAGTCTACCGAAACTTGAACGTTAACATTTGTCCACGGATAGAATGGCAATGTAGCATAACTAGGCGTACCTCGCTGCTATCCGAGTCCGGGATGGCCTCATCATCACTCATGGAGGCTCGGCGGTCCGGAGCAATGGAACTCGTGAGGGTCGACGACCGATGAGGGAGCTTCTGGTCCACGGGACTGGTTGGGGTAGACATGGTTGTGGGGTGAATGTGCGATGCACGATGTCTGCAGAAGTTGTGTGGCAGAACTATTCAGCAGCAGGATAAATAATGGAAGTAAATGTCACTGTGGAGGAGCCGGAACCGCCAATGAATTTAGTCGAGACTATAGGTACCGTTATTCGTCAGTGGCTCCATTTTTCGATTCCGTCAAAGTGAGGGGAGGAGTGGGTCACGCGTATTCCGCAAAAGTGAAGAAGGTGGGAGATTGAAGCGTTAGACACTTACCAAGTCTAGGAAATCCAGCTGGAGAGAGACCGGGTTCGGATCGCCAGGATATCCCGTAGAGAAAAAAGAAAAGGAAAGAAGGAAAGGGGATAGATAGGAGGGAGGACGTGAAGGACTTATTAGGTGGAAGAAAAAAGATCGACGGTCGCCAACGATGAAGTCACCGACCGCTTCCTTAGCGTTTTTTACCCCTCAGCTCAATCTACTCACAATCTAGTCCACCTAACCGGTGGGATGCTCGTCCCCAGGTACACAAGTCACATCATGGGGAATTTTTTGGTTCCCAGAAATTCTAATTACCTTGTTTTGACCCAATTGATTTGATCAGGACTCTTGATCTCATCGTCTCTTTCTGTCATGATAATACTCTCTAGAATGTCTAGAGTTTGGGCATACAGGCTGAAAAAAAAAAAAAAAAAAAAAAAGAGTCAATTAGCACAAAATGTATCACACGTAACTAATCACATCGAGGGAACCAACGAATGGAAACTGCTTAAGGTCGAGATTCGAACGACGCCGATGTGTGGCTCGAACGGTCTTCGTGGATCGGACTATCCGAAAGCAGACAAAGCGCAAGGCTCAGCCACATTTCGGTGGCAAGAGCTGGAGGAACTATTGGGGATCTTTCTGCATGAGTTCTCCACTCTAGTCAACACATGGTATGATTAGGAAATATATTCTCGAGTACATAGTAAATCTAAGGTTTAGCTATGTTTAGCTTTGAAAAGAAGGATAGATATATATTACCATCACGGCTCTGATGCTATCCTACAAGTATCGAGAGGAAAATGATAGGTATCAAGTGTTTGTAAAAAGTCGCCATAACTCATGCTTGTCATCGGCCTGAGCCGTCCCATACCCTGTAAACCCAAACCATCTATGTAGTATAAACGCCGGTGAACAAATCCATACCGTCCCACCTCTATAGATATATGAAAAGAGAAAAATGGAAGCACCCAGAAGCACCCAATACCCGGTCTAATATAGATACAAAACGAAGTGAGGTACGCGCTTTTCTTCTATCGTGAAATCAGGAGAGTCTCTGAAATGTAGCGCCTCTCAGCGTCCAGCGCCGACAGTACCGTAATCATCATGAATGCACATGGCCGAAGAATTTAAAGTTCCCCTCCGATATGCAGTTGGAGCGGCCTCTGTCCTGAATCTAGACACGGGCTCGGGCCTGAACCAGTCGCAGTCTCCGGTCCTCATCATCGTGGCTAGAGGAACGAGAGTGACCAAGGCCCGGCCGGTGATGAAGAATGTCCAGGGAAGGGAAGAGTTGGCTAGATCCGCGTCCAACATTTCGGATATGGGCTTGCTGAGGTGACTGGAGAGGAGGCGGGACGGGAATGTCTTCCGCAACGACAGCATCATAATCCGGCAACTCAAAATCATGTGGACGGACAGTTGTACGAACTGCGGTCGAATAACTCGGGACACGGCTCAGAGTCTCCACTTCCGCATACTGAGGATGGAACGGGGTGGCCATTCCAGATGGAACATGCTCATGGTCAACTTCATCAGAGGGTCGCCGCGAGAGCACCGGGCTCGAAGGGCTGTGAGAATTAGAACCCGATGATGGTCCAAAGTAATCTGCAGGAACTCCTAAGCGCCGGTGTTCGCTGTCGTTCTGAGGCTCATGATCGGTGGGCGACGGCTGATGGGGTCGAGTGATATTGAGGTTGGAGAGATTTGATAGACGGCTGTGTAGCGCAGAAGCGGAGATGTCGGTGTTTGTCAGAGCATTCATAGAAGCAAGGTTTTCAGCAGAGAGGTTGCGGCTTAGAGTGCCAAATGGTGTGCCGGGGCCACTTCCAGGTCCCGGAGTACGGTAACCATTAGGGTCAAGCTCGCTATACAACTGGTCAAACTGATGCTCGCCGTACAACGGGGGCGCCTGCTGAGCAATATCGTTGATTGCCCGTTGAGCGGATTGTGGAGTCTGGTCGATTAGGTTATTATTCTCGTCGATCGCAAGGTTTGGAGAGATAAATATCGACACAGGAAGCGTAGCTCGCAGCTGCAATCAAACTGTCAGAACGGTCGTTATGGCGAATGAGTAGGGAATGACATACCTCGCTAATGTGACCATCTGGATTCATTAATTGAACGCGAAACTTCAGCTTATGCCTGACCTTGATGCCCTTCGTATCTGTATCTTGCAGACACCGTGTCAGAGTTTTAGGGAGGTCCAAATAACGCGAGAATTGATAGCCCTCTGCCACTTCATCGATTATTTCCAAGGCGTTATCGTGATCCAGCTCATATTCGTCGTTCAAGATGGTGCGCGTGTTCTTGTATGTGTTGCGAATAGTGTCAGGATCTTCAGGGTTGAGGGTGAGATCATGGCTCTCGATAAGTTGAGAGACAATCTGTCCGATTGTGAGACCTTTGAGTAGTGGGATAAGTTTGAAGTCAATTCGGATGCTGGTCCCAAAAATAACCGCTTTTGTAGGAGTGCTTATCGAGTACTCGATCTTGTTGGGCCAAATATTCTCC